ACTACTCACCGATTCAGGAAGGTGACGTGAACGCGCCATGGCGATCACCGGTGAGAACAGCTGCGGTGATGATGACGACGATGCACTTTACGCCGCCACCGAGATGCTGGAGGCCAGAACGGGACTAGATTTTCTAGTTTCCGCGCTCTCCCATGAAAAAGAGAAGCCAGGTCCCGTCGCCTCAGTAGCAAACACTGGTGAAGCGTCTGGCCTCTGCCGCGGAGACGATCGTCCCCAGCCCGCGCATACTGCTAAGCCGGCCGTGCCGTCAGCAGCCGGACCGAGCGTCCGCTTGCCATCTCGTGCGTCGTCGTCGAAGCCTCCGCCTCGTTACAAGCAGGCCGTGCTCCGTTGGGCCGATCCTACAGATCCTGGACGTCCTCTCGCTGATGCCGGCGAGTCGGTAAACCACGTTACGCCCACGCCATCTAACTTTAAAAAACCGTCACTAACCACTCTGATTTACGAAGAGGCCCTTGAAACGTTCAAGTCGACGTGGTCGACCGACTACCCATGGCTCATCCTCATAAAAAACACTGCTGGCATGCCTGCGTTCAAGTGCAGATTGTGCATCGACTTTGCAGGTGACGGTGGCAAGTGTGGCAAGAGTGGGCATGGTGCAACCGATCTTCAGACCCAAGCCTTCAAGCGGCATGCCGCGACGAACAAGCACCAGTTGGCCATCAATCACCAGAAGCAGATGCTAGCTCAGGCTGGGAAGCAGCCGCGAATTGACGAGCATACGCTCGCCAAAGATGACGAGACGACCCGCGTCATCAGCCTTCTGAACTCCCTTCACTTCACCACCCAGAACCATCTGCCGATGGAGACGTGGGTGCGCCTCGTTCGCTACATGGCTCAGAACGAGGTCCGCGGCTTTCCCAAAAAGGGATACGGCACTTACTACACCACGTAAGTGCTTACGAGCGCATGCATTAAAAGCCTCTCCTGTTCACAACCACGTAAGCCTAACAAATATGTTCGGTGTCTATGCAGGTACGGCTTTGGGGAACTAACACAGGCAACGGCCGTGTGGCTGCAGACAACACAACTCGAACACGTCCTACAAAGCCACTACATCGGCCTCAGCTGTGACGAGTCTACGGACAGATGCCGTGGGAAGCATCTCATCATCTATGCCACATTCATCTCATCATCATGTATCGGATGATGCTGGTGGTGCTGGCTCTGGGTGGGGGACAGAGACCCCCGTGCACATGCACGGTTCTATGAGCGATGGTGGTGGTAGTGACGAAGATGAAGACATGTGTGTGATGTGAATTGTGTGTGCGGTGTGAGCGCCAAGTGGTCTGTGCCTGTAGTTAGATTAGAAACTCATTAGAACCATATTTGAACTTTTCTTAACTTATTATACTTGTGATAGTTGTTGTGGATTCTCACCGCCAGTGTTTTTTTAAAACTCACGCTGATGTGTCAGGGTTTTTTTTTTTCTAACCCTGAGAAATCAGTGTTTCTCCATTTACAACCCTGATGATCAGTGTTACAGCCCCAAAGGACCCTAAGTGCTCAGGGTCACCCAAAACGAATCTGAGGCCCTGCCCGGGCACCCCCGGCTGCCCCCCTGGCTGCTGCTCTCCTTGGGGCGCCCCGGGCACCCAGGGCTGCCCCCCCACCCGCGGAGCTCCCGGGGGTGTCTCGGTCGCCCCCGGCTGCCCCTCCGCCTGCTGGGCGGCGGCTCCGCTTCCAGTTCGGCCTTGCGTCTTACGGGCGTGTGATTTCAACATATTTTGGGCAGAACCCCAACCCGTACAACAGCCAACCTATTGGTGATTGCCAAATTCCTTTACCTTCCCATTTTTCCCCCACATCAATGTCACTTTATCCTCTCCATGCCCCTTCTCTCTTCATATACTGGTACCACCGATAAGGCCCCATTTTCATTGCTTGCTTCAACACTTAGAAAGCTCTCGCTTCGGTTTAATTCTTGCTTAAAGGCCACACCCCGAATTACACAACGAAGTCAACGAACAAAAATGTAGGTTCGGGAAACCCCAGAGACAGGTTCGGTGGGGAAATCGAGAACCAATCTCGTCAAAAACCCACTCAAAACCCTCGACCAATCACACGAAAGTGGTGACAGTTTTGGGGCCGACACGGTAATTCTGGATGTGTCCTTTAACTTTTGTGCTACAAACTTAAATCCCGGTAACAGATTTCCTCCTTGTTTTGAAGGCCCTCAACGTAGTACCCAGTAAAATATGCCCATTTTTCAGGCCCTTTTTCTTGTATTCAAAACTCCCCACAATGCAAAATGCCCCTGCGCCTCAGTTCCGGCCCATTTTCTTGGCCTTCTTCCTCCTTGCCCTCTCTTCCTCCTCCCTTGCTAATAACTCCGCCTCCCTCTCGTCCTCTTTTCGAGCAATCAGAGCACTGCATAGGATGAGGACGAGGATGAGGATGAGGATGAGGATGAGGATGAAGATGAGGGTGAGGATTAGGATGAGAATGAGGATGACGAGGAGGATTAGGAGGAGGAGGATTAGAGGTGCCACAGAGACGTCACACAGACAAGGCCGAGAGAGAAGCGACACGTACAAGCCACAAAAATTCAGTCAACTGAGGGAAGGGTAGACAAAGAGGACGGGAGGGAGACACATACGAATTTACCCAATCCGATCTTTCTCACCTCCACTCCTCCACTGATTAAATTGACTTTTGAGTCGACTCAAAAGTCACCCCAATTGACCCAATCCGATCTCTCTCACCTCCACTCCTCCACTGAATGAAAACCTGCCGCTCCCTCCCCTCCCACTGAATTGCATTGCTCAGTCTTTCAACCCCCATTGAACCAGCTCCCTCACCTTCTCCTCTCCTCCGCCATCAACTGGCTGAACCCGACCTCCATGGTATCATCGGCATCGCTGTCATGTGCCTTTTGAGTCGGTCCCTCCCAACAAGTCACCCGAATCTCTTCCGCTCCTTTCTTTCGCCGTCAATATCTTGTTCACACTGATAAGAACAACAGCCAACTACCTCACCTTCTTCTCTCCTCCGCCATCAACTGGCTGAACCCAACCTCCACGTTGTCATCGTCATCATCGTCGCTTGTGACTCCATTCACAAGTCACCTGAATCTTACATTTTGTTGCCAACCAACAACTAACTCCAACCCCCGTGTGATGAGTCGATTTTTAAGTCGACTTAAAAATCGACTCATCACATGTTGCCAACCAACAACTAACTCCAACCAACAACTAACTCCAACCAACAACTAACTCCAACCAACAACCAACTCCAACCAACAACCAACTCCAACCAACAACTAACTCCAACCAACAACTAACTCCAACCAACAACTAACTCCAACCCCTCTCACCTTCTCCTTTCTTCCGCCATCAGCTGTGTTTTGAGTCGACTCAAAACACACCTTTTGAGTCGACTCAAAACACACCTTTTGAGTCGACTCAAAACACACCTTTTGAGTCGACTCAAAACACACCTTTTGAGTCTGACTCAAAACACACCTTTTGAGTCGACTCAAAACAACTAACTCCAACGCCTCTCACCTTCTCCTTTCTTCCGCCATCAGCTGGCTGAACCCGACCTCCATATTATCGTCGTCGTCGCTGTCATATGCCGGCCCCATGTGGTTCTCCCTGTGGTTGCGCCTGTGCGAGCAGGGAAAGAAATGAGGGAGGAAGAGATGAAACGAGTGGAGCAAACACAATTTGTTACCTAGTCGTTTAAGCATGCGGGCCAAAAAACAAGAGGGGGGGGGAGGGGTTAGGGTAAAACCTCCTGATATGCCTACCAGAGAATGATAATGCTTCTCGGTGCGGCCGAGCAGAGGAGCATGAGCGTGTGTGTGAGAAATTGGTCTACCGCATGCTTCAATCCACATCATCATTCTCCTCAATTCTGCATCCCAGTTTCCCAGGCCCACTCCACCCCCATGGTCCATCTCTCTCCCCCCCCTCCCTTCCCCTCCACCCACTCCCCACCCTCCTTCCCCATAGGCCCTTGACACACACTCAGGAATGGAAAATGGCAAACATCGTAAACCACTATTACATTCCCAACCGTTCCAAGTCATACCAGCACAACCCCCCGTCCCCATCACGTGGCACCTCTGCCATACCTAAAGATGGCATCCCCCATGCGACATGGAAGCACATATCCATCCATCCCATAGCCTGTTCACCACACCTGAACATGCTCAGAATGGAACTGCCCGGCAAATCGACCCCATCACCCATACCTGAACTGAACATGTCACGACTCACACCCCATTCAACCCATTCATACCTGAACATGCTCAGAATGGAACTGCCCAGTAGTCCTCCTCCTCTCCCTCCCCTCCGCCCATACTCCTCCTCATCCTCATCACTCCCCACCACAAACGAATCCTCCTCCTCCTCATCCTCCTCTTCCTCCTCTCTCCTCCTCTTAACTGGCAATCCCCTTCCGCCTGCTCCCCTCTCCCCTCCTCCCCTCCCTCCAAATCTATCACCTCCTCCTCTACCTCCCATCCTTTCGCCCCCTCCCCTCCCCCCCATCCTCTCTCCATCCCTCCTAAGAAGGCCTCTATCTGCTTCTCTCTGTGCCCCCATTCGACCCGGATCTCTCCGAACCTCCATCCCTGGCTTGGGCCGAGCCATGCCAGCAGGTCTGGCTGGTGCAGAGCCAAGCGGTTTGTTTGACATAGGGGGCGGTTGGGTGCGGTGGGGAGGGGCAGAACCTGGTTGCGGCTTCTGCAGGGAACATAGGAACAAGAGGATGGGAAGAAATGAAAGAGGCGGGGGGGTAGAGGGGGGAGGAGGGGGTTGAGGGTGAATGAGAAGGAAGAGAGGAGTATGGGGGGAGGACTCAGAGTAGATGAGAGGGGAGAGAGGAGCATGGGGGGTTGGGATTAAGGAGAAAGGAGAGAGGATGGGGTGTGTGGGGAGGGGGGGGGTGGTTCAGGGCCAATGACAGCGGAGAGAGGAGTATAGGGGGGGGATTCAGGGAGAATGAGAGGGATAGTAGATTACAGGTTAGAGTCAGAAGGGGTGGTGAAAAATGATCGAGACCAGGAGGAAGATTGAGTGTGGAAGCAAGGAGAATACCTTGACGGGCCGATCGTCATAGCCCCCGCCCCGCCCACTCATCCCATACGCTCCATGGCCCCCCCTGTCTGCTTTATCCCGCCCATCCAACCGCCTCCCATCACCATCCCTTCGAACAATGTCCCCTATCCCTATCCTACCACTCCCTCCTACCCCTCCACCTCCTCCTCCTCTCCCTCCGACTCCCACCGCGCCCACTCCTCCTCTCCCGCCCACACTCCCCCTTCCTACCGCCCCTCTACCATCCCCTGGCCTCACTACTCCTCTCCCCCCACCTGCAGCCCCCATTCCACCAGCACCGGAACCACCACCAAAACCCCCGCCTGTACCAGCACCAGCACCAGCACCAGCGCCAGCTGCTCTGTTTACAGGCCGTTGCTGCTGGGTACTCCCACTGCTGTGGCCGATGCTGCCCGCCCCTCTGTACCCCTCTCCATCCCTCTGCACGCCCCTGTCCCTATGCCCGTCCCTGTCTTTATGCGCATCCCTGTCCCTAGGAATCTCCCGTTCCTTCACCCCATTCCTGTCGTTGTGAAAGTCCCTGTAAGGGTCCCTTTGCCCCTCCCTTTGCCCTTCCCTGTAACCGTCTTTATGTGCCTCTCGGTGCCTCTCGGTGTGCCTGTCGGAGTGACTCTCTTTGTGTCTCTCGTGCTCTCTCTCGCTGTGCCTGCCGTTGTGCCCCTCTTTATGCGAATGGTGGTGCCCACCCCCACTCCCATGCGAAGTGCTTTCGTTTCTCATTCTCCCCATCCCACCATCCTTCCCCCTCTCCCTATCTCTCTCCCTCTCCATTTCCCTGCCTCTATCCCTCTCCTTCTCCCTCCCCTTCTCCCTCTCATCCCACCGCCCCCCCACATCCCGAGCCTCTTCAACCCTCCTCCCCCCTCCCTCAGTCCGAACCCTTGCGTCCGGCCCGGCGGCAGTCATCGGTCGCCGAACCCGCCCGTCAGGTCCGGCAGAAGCCATCGGCCGGCCAGGCACAGGCTTCGCAGACTTCGCAACATGTGAAGGCGGCTGCTGACGTGGCGGGTCTCTAAACTGGTCCTTGGAAAGCGGAGGGGTACTGAGGGATCTCGGAGGGGCTGTGTGCGGTCTAGGCGGGGTGACTTGGGACCGGGAGGGAGGTGGTTTCTGCTTGGAATCTGTTGAGAACAGAAAGGAGAAGTCCCGGTTCTCCTTGAGTCGCTTCCGTTTCGCCTCTTCCTGTAAATAGCAGCGGTGGAAGGGAATGGTGTGGGGTGGAAGGGGATGATATGGGGTGACAGGGGATGGGATGGGGGAGAACAGGGGCATGGAAAGGACTGGGGCAGAACTCGACCTGCTGGTGCCTTCTTCGCCCCTCCAGGCCTTCCTGCCTCTCCCCTCAGCAACTGCAATAAGATCCCCTCAATCCCACTCACCTCAGCAAGGAGCATCCTCCTGTCGTCCCGGTAAGCCGCCTCTGGTGCTTTCTTCGCCCCTGCAGGCCTCCCTGCCGCACTCGCCTTGTTGCCACTGCGTGCCTTCTCCGCCTCCTGCCAGTGACAGCGCACACACATGCAATGCACAGGGGACATGCATGGTATTTGCTGCGTTCTTATACCCTACTCCTACTCCGCCTGCTGACGAGCCTACTGACGAGCAAAACTTCCAAAATTATCTCATCCTATTAAAAGCTCACCTCACTCTACTCCTTACCCCACGAGCGAATGACTCGACTCAGAAGAGCAGAGTGCATCCCAACCTACGGAAACGCTTACCTCGCGCTTCCGCTGGGCCTCGCGAGCGGCCATGGCCTGAGCCTCCCGTCGGATCCGCTCCGCGTCCACCACGGTCTTGGCGATCGCCACCTTCGAAGGCCCGAAGAACGACCCCCAGTTGCTGCAGAGCGGGAGGGGATACGAACAAGGGAGGCAAGGGGGTTTTCACATTGGAACGAGGGTGAGTGAGTTGACGCGTCCACCACGGTCTTGGCGATCGCCACCTTCGAAGGCCCGAAAAAGGACCCCCAGTTGCTGCAGGCGGGGAGGGGATCGCATAAGGCGATTTTTGATTTGATAGTAAAATCACCGTTTTGGCGATCGCCACCTTCTGAGGCCCGAGAAAGGATGCTCAGTTGCTGGAGCGTGGCTTTTGAGTCGACTCAAAGGTCACCTCGACCGCCACCTTCTGAGGCCCGAGAACGGACCCTCAGTTGCTGGAGGAGTGGAAGGGGATTGAATGAGCGAAGCGAGGAATTTTAGATTCAAGCGAGACTTGTGTCGAAACAAGCTGAAGTCTCGCTTCAGCTAGTTGATTGAACTGAAGGAGGTTTGACGAGAAGATCTGCGTGCAATAAAAAAACGACGGGAAGGAACATCTCACTTCTCTACCGCACGTGCGGGTCGACTTAAGAATTCGACAAAAAAAAACAAGAATATTGTTCTTCTATCCAAGCAATCCTTCTCCCTGGTCTATCCATGGGGACGAACCTTCCATTCTTCTTCGGATCGCCACTGCCATGCGAGGGTCCGTCTCCTCGTCCTGCTCTCTCAGACCGACCGTTCCCGTAACCGTCATACTCGTCCCGCTCTCTTCTGTCACTCCCGCCATAAGCTCTCCCGCTACCACTCCCCCCTCTTCCTCCACCGCCTCCTCCTCCCCCTCCCCCTCCCCGTTTATCCTTGTAACCATCGCCATAACCATCACCATCGTCATCGTCTATAAAGTCGTCGTCGTCGTAACCATACTGATGATTGTGGTAACCACCCGCATCGTCTTCGTCGTCGTCGCCGTATCTTGACGATCCTGGTCGGCCTTTGTTCTTCTGTCGAATCAGCTCCTCTAGCTTGTTACGGCGCTCCAAATCTGCCATCTGATTAAAACTTCAACGGGATCCAGCTAATCTTGTCCAGGTTATGAGACGATTCAGAAGTAACTTCCAGCTGATTTGACCAGGTTTCTGATCCCTAAAAGGCCTTATTCACCTGATGCTTCCAGATGGCTCTAGCAAGCAGGTCAATCACACCTTACAGATCAACCACCCTATCGCAGAATTCACTCATCCAGAAAGTACAAGCGCTGGAGAGTGAAGTTCTCGTGAAATTATATCTGTGGCTGCTAACCTAAACGTCAATAGTATTCTTTCCAAATAGACCCTCAAACACGCTTACTAACTGCATCGATCAACGAATAAGAAGGAACTAACGTGAAATGTCAGTAGCATCAATAAATCCGCTTCTTGGCCGACGAAAACCCGGACTCTTATCAGTCAGCTGACATTCTTCTTAAATCGCCACTTTACAGACCACCTAAACTCTCGCTTAGAAATCCGTCGGTAGTTTGCTGGTCCAACACTCCGCTAGGAACTGAACGTTCTAGGTCTGACAACAGCAAAAGAACTTGAATACAGGAATGTGACAGTCATTGGATGGTCGATAGGTCAGGCATGAGAAATCCGGCAACATCCATGGATGGATGATCCTCCCTAAGGACGCGGTAAAAGTGCTCGATCGGGGGGAGATCGATCCGGTCACCGCACTGAAACCCCGCGTTTTGCATACAAAAGGTACACAACCGTTTACAAACGGGCTAAAGAACGATCCTGAGGCGATCGATTCTCCACTTTTACCGCGTCCTAAAACTGGTGTTGCTGAAACTGGTGGTGGGGGAAGGGATGCAGATTATGTGGCTGGGATGATCTTGCTCAAGTTGCTGGTTGCCAGACGCCGAAACGGAGGAATTTTCGCGAAAGAAAGTCGCTGCGCTCGAATCGTGTATCGTTCACCTTCTCGTTTCTGTTCGAGAATGTCGTCACAGGTGACCACATTCTCGAAGGTCCTGGTACTCAGAACTCAGAATTCAGAAAATTCTCTTTCTGACGAAGTAAACGAAATTAGCAGAGCAGTCACCTGACAGGCAAATACTGAGAAAGAACCCCCAGACTGACGAGCCGCAGCAACCAAACAGCTCTGACAGATCAAACTGAGCGCGTACTATGATGCGTATTTAATATAGTGTATGACATATAATACATAATGCATATACGTAGCTTATGTCTAATAAATATTGATACACCTAGATCCATTCAGCCCTTGCAGGGCAAATCAGCTCTCGGAGAGTTGTGGGTTTCACGAATTAGATGCGACCCGTCGAGCTGTGATTCTCCTTTGCGCCGCCCACGCGAACACAGAATAGCTTCCCGCGTTCACTTGCTGCTGCTGCTGAAGCCCCAAATGCTGCCCCCTATTTTGATGCTGCTGCTGCCGTTCCCACTGCTGCAATGTCCCTGGATCTCTTTGTGGATTACCCGGAGAATTTCCACCACAATGGCGGGCGTAATCCCGCCCAGGGTTTATCGACGGACTTCTCAAACACTGCATATTTTCAGCCGCAATCCCTGTTACCCGAGCCATCGACCGCGATGCTGCCCCAAAACCAATCCCAGCCTCCGCGGCCTGTTCTTGCGCCGTGCACCCAACCTCCGCCCTCGAACGGGCCATCCCGCTTTCCGCACTTCCCCTACGTTCCCGCGCCGTCGCATCTTCAGCTCGTTGACGAGCCACGTCAGCGGGTGATCTCTGCGGATCTTGCAAGCCCACGCGTGGACTTCCGCCCGCGGATCTATACCCCGGCGCTTCGAACCTCGAACCCGTGCACGCGCCGCGGCCCGGCCTGACATAGATCACCCGACACATGGCCTGCCGCCAATGCTCGTCAACCCCAGGCGCACCTAGCACGTGTGCGCTTTGCGATCGCGGCAGCTTTGCGCGGGCCTTCGTCCGCCGATCCGCGGCCTCCAGGAGCGCGGAAGGTACGCGGCAAGGGTCGCTTAGAGTCCGCACAGGGGAAGCTTCCGCCAAGCAAAAAGGAGCCTTTAGCCGCGGCGCGGGCAGGCTGAAAGATCGAACAAGCGGGGTCTGGCAGTCCCCCTCTCTCTGCATCATCCGTGATCTGGATCGACGGGACTTCGTCTCGCTAAGCGCGGCAGTCCCGATGAGACTCTTGGAGTTCCCGGCGTTGCTGCTGGAGGTTCGGGACATTCGAGAGAGCGCGTCTGTATGCTGCATCGCGTAGGACGGGGCTGTAGCGCGATTCCACATCTGTAGCCGTGACTCGGTCCGGTGACGTGGACTGCTCCGCGGGGTGGTACTATATGCGGGTTCACGAGACGAAACTCGGGTTGCTACGAATGCTTGCACTGATTGAAGCGCTGTCGACGCTCTCAGCCTGTTGACTGAAACGCGTGCTGCTCCTGTTAGTGCGACCGCCGCTCATGCTGGTAGTACTACTTCCGTTTCCAAGCCTCAAAGTGGGCCTCACGCAGCTATGTTGTACGTCGCTGGTAAAGCTTGGACTGCTTCGATCACCTTCAAGGTGACTACTCACTGATGGCCTCGTCACTTCAAGCGAGCATCGGCAACTCGTTGCGAGGGTTCGACGCATGGAAAAGGCTGTTCCAGGTGGCTCCATAGGCGGTGTGCTACTCTGACGGCGCCACAAATAGATCACATCGTACTTGCTGGCGCTCCGCTTATCATTCCGGTTGAGTTCCTCTTGTGCAGAGCAGGCGAAGTGCTCCGCAAATAATAAATCTGATTTCTTGAATTGGAACAAATTTCTATATTATCGCGAGAGAATTGCGCGGAAGGTGCTCATTCTGAGGTGTGGACAATTTCGAGTGGTTCGCTAGGAGGTCGGGACAGGAGGGAATCGGGCTTGCGGTTGGGGACGCACGCGGCAGCGTTTGCGGTTGCAGATCAAGTCAGATCAAAGGTCATCGATCGAATTAGGCTGGACGGGGTGGATCCAGCAGTGCATCGTGCGTGCGTCAGACCCATCTGTGCGACTCGTGTGGGAGTGAACAGTCGTAGGACGTTCAAGGCAAAAGCAGCCACCCAAACGGTACAGTGTGGAGAGGAGAGCAGCAGCAATTCCGCACCACAGCACCTGTGAATCAGAAAGTGCACATGTCATTGGCCTCAAGTTTGTGCAGGGCAGACGTGCATTTCTAATGACATGCACAATCTCACTACATGTCATTAGAGAACACAACGGAAAAGCCAGTTTCATGCAGGGTACACTTTCAATTTCTATCTGCCCGAATTCAAGGAAAAGGTGGTGTGTATTGTGGGGCAGTCACCAGATGTTTCACCTGGTTGATTTGAGGCAACCTTCGATTTCGCAGTATCTTTTCTTTTTGGCGCCTTCTTTGCATTGAATTTCTGTTCTCCGCACATGTTTTGTTCTCGTTCACTGTTCACAATTCCACACCTGTCCAGTTGAGCAAGCAATCAACGGCGTTGGCTGTTCCAACTTCGAATTGAACATCCTACTTCCAGAATGTACGATTTCAAAAGAAGGTTAGAGATCCGTTATATATTACAGTCGACTCGTGTACTACACTTCAAGAAAAAACTACTTGTAATGCTCCGAGTATATGTGACAATTGCACTGTCTGGCCTATGTTAGCAAGTTGTGCAGAAAACGTTGGGGCTGTTTGATCTTTATATTTGACTAATACCTTCAACATTTACAGACACCTATATGGCAACCCTTCTCTCCAGTGAGGTCTGGCAGACAGCAATATATACATTGTTGCTAAAAACCAAACCTTTCAAAATCCGCTTGCAAACCCTTCAGAACACTGAAGACTGCCATCCTGAAGATGACTAAAAAAAACTTGGAAACACCAGAATTACAGAGTCTCTTCAAGCAAAGTGGAAGCAACAATGTCAGCTAGGAAGAACACCGCAACTAGACAGGCATGCTCGCCATGTTTATGGAAAAACTGCAGCGCACGCCCCCAAAAATAATTAACTTCTGGTAACCTTGATCCTATTCGCCATGCGCCTCTTCGCCGCCCACTCAAAAACAGATTCCGTTCCGGCTGCGGCGGCGGCAGAGCCAGTGGCATAAGCACTTCCGCCTTTCGCCCCGCTCCCGGGGCTTTCTGAAAGCGGTCTTCCAAAGCTGAAGGCGGAACTTTCGCCAAGGCTTCTTCTCGACTGCGTGCGGGAACTGCTCGGGGTACCAGAAACCGCGGCGCTTCCGTTGACATGCGCGCTTCTGGACCGCGAAAGGCTCGGGCTCGCAGGGAACAGATCGAACGTCGCGGCGCTCGCAGAAAACAGCGGAGACGACGCTCCAGACGCTGTCGGGTCGCGATCTTGAGATGCGACGGAAGTAGTATCAGAGCTGCTGTCGCTCGAAGGTCCTCCGAGAGGCGAACTGCGCGTCGACGCGGCGGCTGCATCGTTGACGGAGTTGGCTAGGCGAATCATCGGGCTGCTATTTGACCGGACGGGCGGGAGTGCGCATCCGCTGCGCTGAAGGAGCTCTTGGCGCGCAACGGCTTCCGCCGCGGTCCTTTGCGCCGCGGGCTGCGCAGACGATCGGGCTGCGCCTGTTCCGCCCGTCGCGCGGTTCCACATCATGAGACGGCGGTCGATCTGCGCGAATTTTGTGGGGTTACCACTGGTGGTAGTACCGCTGGCGGAGGACGAAGAGGAGGAAGCGGCGGCGGAGGCGGTGGAAGAAAATGTGTACAGGTCTCGCGACTTTATGTACGCATCTTCGGCGGACGAGGCGGTGGTAGAATGAAACGCGGCGGTTTCGTAAAAGCAGTTGGATGGGCTCGACTGTGACAGGCGGTGGCAGGGAGAAGTCGGCAAATGGACTCGAGGGCGGTTCGCGACGGTGGACGCCATTTCGATCTTGAATGAGATTTTGCGAAGCTAGGATGGTCTTCCAGGCTCGGCTTTGAAACGGCCAATGAACCTGAAGAGAAAAACCGTCCGCTCAAAAATGGAATATCTCGGCCTTCTGAAGGATTTTTTCGAAGGCAGCGGAGCGGCCTCCTTAGGCTAGGCTATGCAGGCCTGACGGTTCGGAGTTCTACACGATGGCGGTATCTTGGTCCAGGAAGGCGGGGAAATAGAGAGTCAAGAAGCGTCGCCGCTCTGGAGAGCGTGTCTGCCGGTGCGGAAAATGAGAAGATCTCAAACTGCTAGCTTTACTTAGCGGAAAGAAGTCAGGGAAATGGTGGGAAATCCGACCTCAGCAATAGATACAGCTGTTCGAGCAGCAAAAACTGGAATGATCAAACTGGCCAGAACGATCCGCCCTGCTTTTGAGCTCGTTGCCCTCCCTCCTGCTGCTGGCAATTCTTGTGTGGCTGCATTTTTCTCCTTGACAGACACCTCCCGCCTCTGCGGGGAAATCCGCAGCGCGATCCCGCGCCAGTTGGCATGGCTTGGGGTTGGAGTGGGGGGTGGGGGGGGGGGGAGCTACTCCAAACCGTCTTGCGGAAACGGGTGCCAGCGGAGCGACAGGTTGGCGGAAATCGACACACTCTGTGGATGCTGGAGCCTGGAATGCGGCGGTGGCGGTGTGCTGTGCTGTACACCCTGTTTCTCGATGTTTGAACAATCGGGAGCCCCGGCTACAGTGCGCACGTGTGCTTGGATTCAGCGGGCTGGTGCTTGCAACCGAAATGCACTTCAGGAGAACGGTAGAGAACGGTTTATGAAAAAAACGTGCTTTTAAGTTCGGTTCCGTGCGGCAAAAGTGCTTATACGGTATGTTCTGGGACCAATCTGGACGCATTGATGTCAGTACAACCGGCTTGTCAATATGGCGAATGTCAGTGTGGCGCGAAACAGGGTGTACTACAAACCGAAGGCAGCGGCGGGGGAGCAACCCGACCTCGCTGAGGGCAGTTTTGTTACCCATATTTCCCCCGGGCACGTGCGAACAAGTCGGAAAAACACAAACAATATACCCTGTCAGTCTATTGGATGAGGGAGGGGGAGGTTGTGATGTGACGGACGGCTGGTGTCCGTCAGAGAAGTGTACAGATCTTTGCGTTTGGAGTTCCTCAAGTACATGAGCACTTAGGTCGTGTCCGTAGGGATGACATTTCAAAGTGGGTAGTGTCAATTCGGCATTTTGACACTCTGCTGGCAGAGTGTCAAGAAATTGCAGGTTGCCAGCCAATACAAATCGTCGGACACTTTTGAAATTGGCACAGACAAACCTACAAACGAGAGAAGATTGTCGCAGGTGCCTATCTCACGACCAGATGCTGCCCAATCAGCACACAATATGTCTTTTGAATTGTTCGTTGCCTAGCAGATCTACCCATGACAAATTCTCAAACCAATGAAATTGCGTCGCTGATGTTCGTACCTGCGCTTCGACTTGACACTTCTGCTACAGTTCTTGACACTCTAATTTGAATGGGATTCGGGTTGACACGCTCTCACCTGACATGTCAACCCTACGGACACGAAATTACTGGCCTTCGAGCAAATTAGTACTGGTTGAAGTGCAGAGGACATCCATCAGTACGACTCTTGAAGTTCCAGGCTTTTGTTCTACGTTTTTCCCAAACTAGGTGAACTGTGAACCGAAAGAACAAAAACAAACGCAAGCAGTTTGCGAAGCTTCCTCTGAAGCTGTGACTACTGTAGCTTCTTAGTGGATTGGGCTGGGTTCACTTTTCGTAAAAAGTAGATTGGACACGTCATTCATGCGTGTAAATTCATCACTTTACGCCACTTCAGGACAAATCGTTAGACAAGACAAACGGAACAACAATGTGTGGGAAGCTGGACATGTCAACACGATTTACGCTATCCAATCTTGTATTTTGGTACAGTCGACCTACCGTGCCAATGCTTCCGAACTGTACACATGAACCCACATGAAACAAGCAACACTAGAAATTTACAGATAAACTGACTTATGACGTGGGCCCAATCGAGTTTGATCGCCTCGATCACACGCGATCAATAACTTCCAGGAAGCCTGGAAGCCGATTTCATGCAATCGGAGGCGATCAGCTGATCGCGAACAACAGATCGCCCCAAGTCGATCAGACCCGATATTTACCCCGATCAGAGCCAATTTTCCTCGATCATAGGCAATCACTGGATTGCATGTGATCGGGGCCCACAACGACGCTTGCGAGCAGTTACAATGTTGCGCTGACCGTGAAACGAACACTTTCGCCAAGTGAAGTCTGGTCGTCAATCTCGCTAGAATGGGGACGAAGCTGCTGGGTAAATGTATTGCGCTTGCTCGACAGGCGCTGGCAGACTTCTTCAAAATTCTAATCGCGCGGCTCGGGCACTGCGATCACAAGCAACCCGATCAGATCCGACCCGATCAGATCAGTCGCTATCAAACTCGATTGGGCCCACGTAGTTATCTACAGATGTTCGATGTTCAATTGGTCACGGTCAGAACAGCAATCTCGCAAAGCTCACAGTACTACTGCTGGCTGTAACTGTTCAGGACTGTTGACAGCGCTTCTGTCCTCTGCTTCTTTGTCTCGCCAGTTCAATTTCTTGAGATATCTCCCGCTGCAACGCACTCGTTTCTTCAATGTGGTCGAATGGACTCCTACATAAAATATAACACCCATTGGGTTTGCAAGATATTCCTCAAGAGTCTCTTACATTTAATGACACCCATCAGTCCTTATGAAGCTTGGCTTCTGTTTCCCGGTGACGCAAAATGTACCATCGTGAGTAAATCTGCAATGATAAGGCTAAATGGGCTTTTACCAATGCAAGAATCAACACAGTACCTATGACAACCAGTGGGGTAATGCTTCGGGAGAGCAGAGGGTGGCCGGCAGGAATAAACAACGCAATGAGCGGGCTGGCAACTCGAATAACCTGGGCAGAACAAAAAACCCGTGGAGAGTTCAAAAGGGGTCAGTGCCACAGGGGGGTACAATGCAAAGGGATGGGGAGGGGGGAGGAAAGGGGAAAGATATTTCGGGATGAAAGCAAGGTTCTTAGAATTATGAGTGAAAGACGGTGGGCAGTGAGGCGTGCAATGCAACCTATGTTGCGGTTCGGGTGATAGCAGCAGCTACTGACATGGCACCCACCGTCACCACACTAGACCCATAACAAAACCCATCCCTTCCCAGCCCAGGCAGTTACTAACAATGTACCCATCATCACCGCACCGCACCCACCACCACCCATCACCCCCTCTATGCCCCCCAACTCACAATGCATGCCGGCCCGGGAGGAACGAAGCTCATGCTACGGTGCAAGAGGCGGGAGCGAAAAATCACAATGTACCCATCACCACCGCACAACACCCACCACCACCCATCACACCCGGCCCCCCACCCCCTTACCCTGGCCCCAAATCACATTGCACGCGGGACCAAGAGGAACAAAGCTCATGCTGCGGCGCACGTGGTGACAGCAGCCCCTCACCCACAACGCACCCACCATCACCGCACCTCACCCACCACCCCCAGCTCCCCCCACCCCCCCACCCTTTCCCCCAACAACTCACATTGCACGCGGGCCCAAGAGGAACGAAGCTCATGCTGCGATGCACGTGGTGACAGCGGTCCTCCAGGACCTGATGAGGAGGAGGAGGAGGAGGGGGGAAAAAGGGTTTGAGAAGAGGTGGTAGCAGGGAAAAAAAGGGAGGACGCAGAGTGGAGTTAGGGCAACGGTGAGGGCAGTGGTCAAGAAAAAGAAAAGAGAGAAATTCGTGAGGTGCATGTGATGGTAAAAAAGAACAAAAAAAAAAGAGACGATTTTTTAGTCGAGAGGTGCATGGTAAAATCGTCTCATCACACAGGGAGAGAGGTGCATGTGATGGTAAAAAAAAAAACGAAAAAGTGGGTGGGAGTAGACTTTTGAGTCGACTCAAAAGTCACCTCAGTAGGCGGGGAGTGGGGAGGGATTGTCTAGGGACAGTTCACCTGTGTGCGGAGTGGTCTATCTGTCTGCCTGCAGAGCGCTTTATCTGTCTGCTGAGTGGTTCAGATGTCTGCAGAGCGGTTTACCTGTCTGCAGAGCGGCTTACCTGTCTGCAGAGCGGTTTACCTGTCTGCAGAGCGAGAGGAGGAAGTCGGAGTACGTCTCAGGCTTGATCTCATTGAACTTAGCGAGAAAGGAGTGTTTTAGATTGTCTACCAGCATCTCACAGCCCCACACCGTGCACACATTCTGCGTCGCACAAAAGGAAGGCAAGAAGGCAGAGAGGCAGGGAGGTTAGCAAACATGCATCTTGAAAGGAGTGGCTTAGATGTTCCACGAGCATCTCACATCCCCACACCGCGCACACATTCTGCATTCCCAACAAGTTAGTGAAGTAGGAATGAAAGCAGGGAGGGAGGCAGAGAGGCAAGAAGGCAGGGAGGGAGGGAGGCAGGGAGGCAGGGAGGCATGTAAGCTCGCAGGAGGGGAAGCAAGTGAGGCAGTCGAAAGGAGTGTTTAAAATTGTCCACCAGCATCTCACAGCCCCACACCGCACACACATACACTGCACCGCACTGCACCGGCACGCTCATACACTGCACCGCACTGCACCGGCACGCTCATACACTGCACCGCAAGCACATACAGTGCACCGCACGCACATACAGAGCACCGCACGCTCATACACTCCACCGCACGCACATACACTCCACCGCACGCACATACACTGCACCGCACGCACGTACACTGCACCGCACGCTCATACACTGTCCCTTCACCACGTTCTGCAGATGTTGCGTGTGTTGGGTCACGATACCAAACACCCGAAGCACAATAACACAAGGCTTAGCAAAATGTGCTGTGCAATGCACCCGGATGAAGAACGAGAGCGCGGTGTCCTGCCCCTGCCCCTGCCCCTGCCCCTGCCCCTGCCCCTGCCCCTGCCCCTGTTCCTGTCCCTGCCCCTGCCCCTGCCCCTGCCCCTGCCCCTGCCCCTGCCCCTGTTCCTGTCCCTGCCCCTGCCCCTGCCCCTTCACCATGTTCAGCAGATGGCAAGGAAAGCCCTGCCCCTGCCCCCATGGAATGCAACATACCCGGATGAAGAAGGAGAGCGAGGTGCCCTGCCCCTTGACCACGTTCTGAACCACCACGAAGAGCAGATGACACGAGAGATGAAACCGTTCCACCGTGTCTGGTACAGGTGAGAGGGGCAGGAGGAGGAGGCACAACAACTGTACTGTCGACAAAAACAAAGAGGTTTAGATATCCAAGAGAACTGTTCCACCGTGTCTGGTGCGGGTGAGAGGGGCAGGGGCAGGGGGACCACCAAGAGTGAATTTTGAGGCGCCTCACGAGATGAAACCGTTCCACCGTGTCTGGTACAGGTGAGAGAGGCAGGAGGGGGGGGCACCCCAAAAGTGCGGTTACAAGAAGGATCGAGTAATTGAATCTTTGAAAAGAACCGGAAGAGGTAAAAAACTTGAGCAACGCACTTCCCTGTTGCACCACTAACTGAGAATGCCCCTGCTGCTACCGCACATGACACTCACTCACCCAAACATGCCAGCCTTGTGAATGTTCTCCAGGCTGAAGCGCTTGAAGACATTCGACTTCACTGAGTTGATGGCCACGTTGACCCTGACGGCCTGCGTCAGCAGCACCACCCACCCACTGCTATGCACCTGCTGCACCCCACCCACCAGGATCTGCTGCTGCTGCTACAGCACACAACACTCACCTAGGCAAGCGAGCTTGTGAATGTTCTCCCGACTGAAGCGCTTGAAGACGTTCGACTTAACCTCAGCAAAGTTGTTGGAGACGAGGAGAGTGACCAGGATGTGGTTGTGCGAGTTGATGGCCACGTTGAGTGTCACGGCCTGGGTCAGCAGCACGAGTGCGTGCAGCAGGAAACACGCCACTGCTATCGCTTCATCAATTATGAACCGGAGGGTTTCCGTTGGCAGCGATGCAGCAGCAGGCGCTGCTGACCCTGCTGTTCCTGCTCCTCCTCCTGCTGCTGCTGTTCCTGCTCCTCCTGCTCCTCCTCCTGCTGCTGCTGCTCCTGCTCCTGTTGTTCCTGCCGCTCCTGCTGCTGGTGACCCGGCTGTAGCGGCAGCGGCCACACGAGCCGCGGTGTTGAGAGTCATCTGTAGCACGTCGCACCCCAGGCTCTGGCATAGCTTGTCCATCACCTGGGCGGGATGGTGTGGGGTGGTGTGAGATGGGGTGGTGCGGGGTGGGGTTGGGTGGGGATGACGGACACACTTCGCACCCCAGGCTCTGGCACAGCTTGTCCATCACCTGGCATGGGGTGGCATGGGGTGGTGTGGGGTGGTGTGGGGTGGAATGGGGGGTGGATGCGTACACTATGTTGGGGCTCCTGAGAACTGAACGTCACAGCCAAGGCTCTGCTCCACACAGCCGCACAGGACCGCACAGGACCCCACAGGACCGTTCACACACAGACTTCACTTACCTCAAGCACCTTGTAGAATGTTATGCCCGGATGCTCGAAAGCACAGCTGCACACAACAGCACACAACCGCACAGAGCCACTCACCACCACTCGCAACTCACCTCAAGCACATTATAGATGACTACGAGCTTCAGAATGTTCTGTCCGCGGAGCCAGTGAACGAAAGAACATTGAGGGTGATGTCAGCCTGCTGTACCAGCACACAGGCGCACACAACCGCAGATAACCGCACACAACCGCAGACAGCCATTCACAACCTACCTCAAGTACATTGTAGATCACGACGAGCTTGATAATGTTCTGCCCGCGGATCCAGTGGTAGATGAGGCTGAGGTCAGGATGCTCAAAAGCACGGCCGCATACACACAACTGCACCCAACCACACACAACCACACTCAACCGCACAGAACCGCACAGAACCGCACAGAACCGCACTCAGCTGCACACTACTCACCTCGAGCACATTGTAGATCACCACGAGCTTGAGAATGTTCTGCCCGCGGATCCAGTGGTATATGAGGCTGACGTCAGCCTGCTGTAGTGCCAGCACACCGCACACAATGATGACGCCCTTGCCGACGTCAGCTATATCGTCCACAACTAGATGCAGCCGCCCCCTCCTGGCATACAGTACAGTACAGTACAGTACAGTACAGAATAGTGAAATAAAAGAAGCCCGAACGTTTTGGACAGCACCCATATATCAAACTGTGCACATGATTTAAAAGAAGCAGCAACATGCATGAAATGATGCATGCAATAAATATCAAGACAGGGAGAGAGATGGAGCCTTTGAGACGCAGCACAGCACAGGTATGGGCACAGATATCAGCTCAGCAGGGCGCTATCAAATCAACCCACCACGGTGCTAGGAGCAGGCGGAGCAAGAGGAGGAAGAGGCGGATGGGGAGGACGGCGAGGAGCGAGAGGAAGGAGTCGAGACACACGAGGTAACCCATTATGATCAGCTGAGGGAGTGGTGTGGGAAAATGGGAGTAGGGGTATGGGAGAAGGGGAGTGAGGTGTGGGCACGTGCATGAGAGGAGGAGCGAGAGGAAGGAGTCGAGACACACGAGATAGCCCATTATGATCAGCTGAGGGAGTGGTGTGGGAGAAAGGGAGTCGGGGTATGGGAGAAGGGGAGTGAGGGGTGCGCCGTGCATGAGAGGAGGAGCGAGAGGAAGAAGGAGTCGAGACACACGAGGTATCCCATTATGATCAGCTGAGAGTGGGACGGGAATGGGAAGACAGACGAGGGCCCCTATCATTATCAGCTGGGGGGAGGTGTGGGACGGGGAAGGAGAGCACGGGATGATCAGCTGAGGGTTGGTGCGGGATCATGCACGGGAGACGGGAGACGGGAGCTGATCACACTCCCGTGCATGATCAGCTGAGGGTTGGCGCGGGAGGGAATAGGCACATTGAACAACGTGTTGTGGACCTTCTCACCGCTTCACACCACTCTGAATCCCTCACCAGTTCACACCGCCACGGCCCATTGAACATGGTGTTGTTGTAAACCGTGAGACGTATCCCTTTCCTACGCTGCTGCTCGCTGGAATATGTCTTTTGAGACGTCTAAAAACACACTTTCCTACGCTGCTGCTCGCTGGAATATGTCTTTTGAGACGTCTCAAAACACACTTTCCTACGCTGCTGCTCGCTGGAATATGTCTCACGGTCTGTAAACCTTCTCTCTCCGCACGTCAGCACTCTTCTCCCCCCCCTCCTCCTCCCCTTTCCTCACGAGATCAAACATTCTCACCGCTTTACACCGCCCTACACCCCTCACCAGTTCACACCGCCACGGCACGTTAAACATGGTGTTGTAGACCTTCTCTCGCCTCACGTCCGCGCCCTTGCCACCCTCCCTCGCCGCCCCGTCCCGCCCCACCACCTCCTTCCACAGATACGACAAGGCAGAACCGTCCACGACAAGAGCTGGGGGGAAAAGGCAGAGTGAAATGGAAGAGTGTGTGTGTGTGTGGGGGGGGGGGGGGGTGGGGGTTTGAGACAAGGCAGAGCCGTCAACGACCAGCGGTGAGGAAATGGGGTAGTGGGAGCAGACATGGAAAGAAGGGAGGATGAGCACTCTTGAGTTCCACACTCCCTCTCCACCACCTCCTTCCACAGATACGACCAGGCAGAACCATCCACCACCAGCGCTGGGGGAAAGGGGGGACGCATTTTCGAGCACAAGAGAGAAGAATGAGATTTTCACTTATCCCACTCCATCCCACTCCATCCCACCCCATCCCGAAATGTTCCAGCCCCCCACATGCCTTACCCCGCAGCTCAACCCCCCATTCATTCCCAGAGAAGCCCAAGCTGTCAAACTAAATCTCTCTTTGACACTAGCCTCCTACCAGCTTTATCCAAGCCGTGTGCAGGGGGATGGCATTTGAGTCGACTCACAAGTCACCTTCCATACCCCACAACTCACCCCCCCCTTCATCCCCAGAAGCCCTAGCCCTGAGATGTCTCAAACCTCCATCCCCAGGGATGCCCGAGCCTCCTACCAGATTTATCCAAGCCGTGCGCAGGGGGATGGGCCGCCACCCACTGCTTCAGCTTCGGCGTGTCCGAACCTGATGCCGAGCCTGACGGCTGCCGCTGCAGCCCCGAACCACCGCTGATCCCCCCCCCATCAGTCCCCCCTCCTGAGGGCGAATTCACTCCCCAGCCCTTTCCCGAGCCTTGCCGTTGCAATGTGGCTGCCGAGCCTGTCCCCGAACCTGTTCCGGCAGTCTGCTTCGGCGGCGTTTCCCAAAGCAGCTCAGCAGCAGCGGCAGCCACAGCCGCGGCGGCAGCAACGCGGGGCGACGGCCCCGCTGGGGTGTTTTCCCCCGAAAAAGTCGTGCTTATGGATAAACTAATCGGGCGAGGGGGTTTTTGGGGGGTATCGAGGTGAATGTTGGATGGGCGCGGGGAACAGGGGGTGGATGGGCGGGAGGTGCGCGGGACCAATTCGGGGGTTGTCGCGGCGGAGCTGGTGGAAGTGCTACTGGCGGAGACATTATTGGCGGAAACCCCACTGGCGGAAGAACCAGAGGCGGAAACCGCGCCGATAACGGCGCAAGAATTGGCGGATGCGATCGGGGGAACTCCGCTACTAGCTCTTTCGTACTGTGCATTCTTTCTCGTCACGTCAGCTGACGCGTCAGCCATGTCAGATGCCACGTGTCCACAACCTGCACGATCAGCCGCAATGGTAACAGTCGCTCTGTCCCGTAACTTCGCGGATTCTTCTAGTAACGTCATTGAATTCGGTTTGGCGAAACCATCGACAGGTGGAGGTAACGCCACGTGAAGCGCTTCCGACTAGCGAACGTATACTCTAGGGAGATTGGTAGTTCATATTAGAATGCTTGTCTGACACGTTGTGATAGACTGGCAATGTGAATTCGCTAGGAATACAGTAACCTGCTAATCTTCTAACCTACGGGCATGAAGCATCGGTATTGGTAAGGTTGAGCATTCTCAGATGAATCACCCACGCACCACACGCCTTTGGCGTGAAGTGGATTCTGTGGATGTGAATTTGGGACCATCGGCGGAAGTTTTGCCCGAATTTAGGAGGACAGGGGGAGTAGCGCATCGCGCAGAGCGCAGGGTGCAGCAGCGTGGGGAATTACGCGCTGCGCTTTGGGTGCTGCGCAGAAAGAAGCGGGAAAATGGCGGAGTGCGCTGACTGCTGCAGGCGGAATATGTGGGGTGCGGGATGTGATTGGCCAAGGGAAACAGTCGCGAACAAGGCTCAATAGTGTATTCGCCAAACTCATTGAACATTTTCCTCACCAACCTAGCGATAATAGTTGTAGACTACTATGCTGCAGCACAGATATTTCGTTTCTATCGCGTCAGCTTCAGTCGAGCTCAAGTGCATTTTCAAGGTTTCGAAATCAGGGCTGGTAGCGAGGCAAACACAAGGCAGCAGCAGTTCCCAAGGTTTTACCAAAAAAGCTGGCTGGCTTGAGATGGCTGATGGGGACGCAGCAGCCAGCACTGCGGCAACGAGGGGAGGAACAATAAAAGCAGAACTCCAAACTAGGACCGTCTAGTCAGGATTAGGTGCTGATAAAGAGCTCAGTGTTAGTAACGCTTGTGGTGTATCGAGCTGTCGTAGGTCAGCGCGTAATTGGAGATGATTGGATGATAGATGACGAATTTGGGATCCTAAGAAGCAGCGGGGTTGTCACGGCATACGACATCGCCGCGAGTGCTTTCCGACTCGGCTACCTGTGATGCGCGGCTTTCCTGCCGACTGAGACGTCTCAAAAATCGACTTTCCTGCTTTTCTTAGATCCATTTGGGCTGCTTGCGCTGACGTTCGGTCTAGGATCGGTCAATGCTCATTGTGCCTGTTACAGCCCAACCCTCATATTTCATCGCATCGTCTAAGCGTCTTGTTTTACCTACGCAAGATTCTGGCGATTATTTTGTTCAACTTGTCACACTGACCGTGTCGTCGTATCGTTCCAGTCTCGCCCCCGTATCGCACCAGATTTCCTGGACGCACCAGCTAAACCCCCTTTTGTTTGTCTCCCGCTCGCATATAGATTAGCGTCATGCATCCCCGGAAGATTCCCCCTTCCCCTTGGGATCCCCATCCCAAGCCGGTCAGATCCGCCAGTCTCACCTTCCGCGCGCCTCACGTCCCCCACTCGCGGAGTGCGCTTTCCATTCCGCCATACCCCTCCGCCTCCGCTTATTCCTCCGCTCCCCCGTACCCTCCTCATCCGTACTCTTCCGCTTCCCCGTACCATCCCCCTCACCAGTACGCTTCTGCTGCGCAGTACTCTCCCGCTCCCCCTTACTCTTCCGCTCCGCCGTACCCTTCCGCTTCCGCCTACCCCTCCGCCTCTCAGTACTCGCCTTCCGCTCCCTCGTTCCCCCCCGCTCCCCAGCGGCGCGCATCTTCCCCCTCACCGCCTGGGAGAAACTTCGTCATTCGGTTCACGTGCGACGATGACGACGACGATGGTGATGGCGACGGCGACGACAATGCTGATGCCAGTCGCGAAGGAGGTGGTAACCCGAAAAGTGACATTTCGGGCAGCAGATCGTTACCGCCGGCCAGGCGGGCCTCTCCGACCGCGATCCTTTCGCCGGGGAGCGGGGCATCAAGGGGAGGAGGGAGCGGCGGAATAACCTCAGCCGTTGCCCTTCCGCCAAGACCTTCAAGTGCGCCAGGATCTTCCGCGCAAGGTTCCGCATCCGCTTCCGCTTCTGCTTCCGCTTCCGCCTCCGCTTCCGCCTCTCCGCTCTCGCTTCCCCCTGGCGCGAGCAAGCCCACCGTTTGGACCGCGGGTGGCGCACACGCCACGCAAACTCGCGGAAGACAGACGGCGGCTGGGGTAGTTGCGCGCGCAGCTTCTGCGCGAGCACTGGGCCGCTCCCCCCCGTCCGTCCCCCTTCCCCCAGCGGCTGTGGCTGGCGGATCTACTGGGGCGGCGGCTGGCGCAAGCTCTGGCGGAGCAGGCGGGACTGACGGCGGAGCTTCCACACAGTTTTTGAAGCAAATTGCGCTCATGCGCGAGCAGATCGCGGCTTTTGAGCGCAGGGGGGAAGGCGGGAGCTCGGGGAACTTGGTTGAGGCAGGCGGGGGACAGGGTCCGGATGCGCCTAAGGAAGGCGCAGAGCCAATCAGCGGCGGAAACGCCAGCGGCGCTGGCGCAAGTGGCGCTGGCGCTAGTGGCAGCAAAGGGGAGAAGTCTTTCAAGGAACCAAAGCAGGCTGCAACTCCGGCTGTAGCAGCGCGCGGATCAACACCACCGGCAGCAAAGACGGCTGTAGCACCGCCAGTGGCAAAGGCCTCTGTAGCTGCGCCGGCAGAAGCGCAGCCAGCGCGAAAGGCGGCTGTTGCAGCAGCACCACCTGCGGCTGTAGCAGCAGCAGCACCAGCAGCAGCAGCAGCAGCAGCAACAACACCTCCAGCAGCATCAGCAGCACAGCCAGTACCAAAGCCCGCTGCACCGGCTGCTACAGGCGCAGCAGCGGCAGCTGTAGCAGAGGCTTCTCCTGACGTCCCAGCACGACCAGGAGCTGTAGCAGAGGCTTCTGCTGACGTCCCAGCAGAAAAGGAAAGGGCTGGAGCTCCGCTTGCTACAGCTGCTGCTGCTTCTAGTACTACCGTCTCTAGCCCCTCTCGCCCTCCACGTTCCGCCACTCCTCCTCTCGCCCCTCCGCGTTCCTTCACCCCCCCTGTTGTCCCCCCTCGCTCCTTCACTCCTCCTGTCAACTCCCCGCGTTCCTTCACCCCCCCTGTCAACTCCCCCCGTTCCGCCACCTCCGCACTTATCCCGCCTCCCCCCGTGCCCCCCTCTCTGGCTCGTTCCCGGTCCGCCACTCCGCCCGTGACTCCCCGCACAACCTCCCCCTCTCTCGCTGCTGCAACAGCAGCAACAGCCGGAGCAGCAGCAGCAGCAGCAGGGGCAGGGGCAGCAGGAGCAGGAGCAGCCGCAGCAGGGGTACCAGCAGCAGCGGCAGCTACGGTGCCACCTGCACCTGTGGTGGTGAAATCCGCGCCTGTGGCTGTGACACACTCAGGAGATATTTCAGGTGTTTCTTTGTCCAGGCTTTCAATATCGGCGGCACCTGAGACCAAGGAAGGAGCATCAGGTGCTGTTGAGAATGCAAGTGCGGAAGGAGGAGTGGCAGCAGCAGGAGGAGTAGCAGGAGGAGGAGGAGTAGCAGCAGGAGGAGTAGCAGCAGCAGGAGCATTTGGATCAGCAGAAAAGGCACCAGCTGCCTCCCCAGAAGCAGCTGCTGCTGGTGCTTCGTCACATACAGCTCGACAGGGCGGCGTTTCTCGTCCTGTAGCAGTCAGAGGCGGAACGGCGCGGGCGAGAGGAGGAGCAAGAGGTCTAGGTCAGGGGCGAGCGGGAACAAGAGCGGGAGAGCAAAGCAGTGGGCTGCTGAAGCGGGGGATGAGCTGGAACGAACCGATAATGCTAGATGATGATGATGATGATGACGAGGATGAACCAATCATGCTAGAGAGTGATAGTGGTGCTGGTGGCGGTGGTGCTGTTGATGATGGTGCTGCTGCTGGTGGTGGTGGTGGCAATATCAGGGTTGCTCCGGTGAGTGGGTTGTCACCCAGATGCAGAGGTCACGGGGTGATGTTAATCTATGCTTTGTTAGATTCCGTTGGGTGGGCGTGGGATTACTCGTCCAATGGTGTATCGAACGGTGACGTGGAGTGCGCCTGTTATGCGTGAGATGATGACAATGGGTGAAGGGAGACGACTTCTGAGGTACCTCGTTGCGGTTCTTTCTTCCTTTCCATGCCATCATCCTCTTTCCCATTTCATCATCCCTCCTCCTGTGCCATCATCAACCTTTGCATACCATTATCTTCTCCCCTCCAATGTGATCGTCTCTCTCCTTGCCGGATTCTTCAGGACTCGCCAGAAGATGTGAAGCCCGTGCACGCTGGTGACAGTGCTGATGCTGCTTTTGAGGCTCCTAAAAACTTCCATCTTCTCTCTTCCCATCGTCTCTCTCCCTGCCGGATCTCCAGGACTCACCAGAAGATGTGAAGCCCGTGCACGCTGGTGGCAGTGCTGGCGCTGCTGATGCTGCTCATGCTGCTCATGCTGCTCATACTTCTCTTGCTGCTCATGCTGCTCATACTGCTGCTGCTGGCGATGACGCTGGTGCTGGTGCTGTGCCTGGCAATGCTTTGGTTGACTTTGGCAATGCCGGTGGCGCTGGTAGCGATGGCATGGACACCAGCGCTGACCCAGACAGTGGCGAGGACATGGAGATAGATGACGATGGTGGTGTTGGTGGTCGTGAGTATGATCCCATAGCAGATGCTTGGGAGGGTAATTACAGGTTTGATGTGACTGAAGCGAGGGGTGGTGGTGGCATTCCTGAGGGTGGTATCGCAGCAGAGGCACAGACGGTGATTGCAGAGGCGCTTGCTGCGGCAGCAGCAGAGGCAGCAGGGGCTGGAGCAACAGGGACAACTGCAGCAACAGAAGCAGCTGCAGGCAAAGCGGCAACAGCAGGAGCAGCAGGAGCAGTAGCAGGAGCAGGAGCAACAGGATCGGTGGCAGCAGCAGGAGGCGGAACAGCAATGCAGGCGTCACCTGCGAGTGCGGGGGTAAAGGCGGCAGTACAGGTCTTGCCTGGGACTGTGGGGATAGATGCAGGCGTGCAGCTTTCACCTGCGATTGGGCGGGTGGAAGCAGCAGCAGTGCGAGTGTCACCACCACAGATAGGAGTAGAGGCGGCACTGGAGGCGGATGGCGCGTGGGCGGGGCTGGCGAGTGTGTGGCACGGGGCGGGGGGATTCTCGTTCGGGGGGTGGCTGGAGGAGGAGAGGGCGGAGGGGAGTGAGAGGGGCGCGCGTGTGCAGGGCGCGCACACACAGGGCGCTAGAGTGGAGGGTGGAAGGAGGCAGGCAGAGCATACACAGGATGCGAGGGCGCAGGGTGCAAGCGTGCAGGGCGAGAGGGTGCAAGGCGAGAGGGGGCAAGGCGAGAGAAGGCAAGACGAGAGGGGGCAGGGCGAGAGAAGGCAAGACGAGAGGGGGCAGGGCGAGAGAAGGCAAGACGAGAGGGGGCAGGGCGAGAGAAGGCAAGACGAGAGGGGGCAGGGCGAGAGAAGGCAAGACGAGAGGGGGCAGGGCGAGAGAAGGCAAGACGAGAGGGGGCAGGGCGAGAGAAGGCAAGACGAGAGGGGGCAGGGCGTGAGAGATGATCCCCCTCCTCCTCACCCTCCAACCCAACCGCCCCCGCTGCCCGCCCCACCCCCTCCATCTGACCCCCCTCCTCCAAATCCTCCTCCCCCTCCGATCCCTCCGTCGTTTGCGCCTGTGCATGCTCCTGCTGCAACGAATGTGCTTCCACACACACATACACGGGCACATGCACCTGCACTTGTGCCTGCACCGACACATGCACATGCACATGCACATGCACATGCACCTGTGCATGCACATGCACATGCAGAGGAACATATGGCCGCAACTCATTTTAGTCATGACATGTCCCATCTGCAGCAACAGACCCATGTGCACATGCCACCAACAACCACCCCTCTTCCAACCATCCCTCCCCCAACCGCCCCTCTCCCAACCGCCCCTCTCCCAACCTCCCCTCTCCCAACCGCCCCTCTCCCACTCGCCCCTCCCCCAACTTTCTCTCCAGCCTCCCCTCTTCCAACTTCCCCTTTCTCAAATGCCCCTCTCTCCACCCCGCCTCGCTCTGAACCTCTACCCATGCGCCCCCCTTTCTCTGGCTTGGCCTTGCAAGGGGTTTGGACAGAGCAGAAGGTTTTTTACGGGCAGGTCGGGCAGGGGGTCACGGGCAGGCAGGAGGCTTTTACCGGGCAGGGTGGATGGCTGTCAGAGGGGAATTCCCCTGGGCAGGGGAATTTGGGAGCTCAAGCAGGGGAAGGAGGTTTGGGTGGGCAGGTTGGGGCGAGCGGGCGGCAGGTTTTGGAGCTTCTGTGGAGGGAGGAGGAGGAGGTGGAGGCGGCATTAGAGGAGGAGAGGCAGAGGAGGAGGGAGTGCGAGGAGGAGGAGGCGAGGCTTAGGAGGGGTTTGAGGCAGATAGAGCGGCGATTGGCTCTGTCGAATCAACGGTGTGCAGTGCTCCAGCAGAGACGGACACAGATCGCAGGGCGGATAGAAGCTGCTGGGGTTGGTCTGGATTTGGGTAGTGGGGAAGTGGGTGCGGTTGGGGGGACGGATGTGGGTGTGGGGTTGGGTGGGATGGGCAGAGATGCGGTGATTGGTGCGCTTGCGCCTGTTGCTGCTATATCTGCTGCTGCGGTTTCCCCTCCTGTTGCTGCCCCTGCCCCTGCCCCTGTCCCTTCTGTTCCGGCTGCTGCTGCTGAAGCTGCCTATTCAGCTGGAGTTTCCCCTTTTGCTCCAACCTCTGCTGCTGCTGAAGCTGCCACTGCTGCTGTGACTGCTGCTGTCCCTGCTGCTGCAGCTGTCTCTGCTGGTACTCCAGGTTCAGCTCGCGTTCTCGTTGGCCCTCCGGTCGCTGCTGCTCCTGCTCCTGCTCCTCCTTCTATCCCCGCTGCTGCTGCTCCTGCTCCTGCCGCTGCTCCTCCTTCTATCACTGCTGCTGCTGCTCCTGCTGCTGATAGGGGCAACACTTGCACCACCCTCGCCCGTGACACATGGAGGCAGTCCCAGTGGGGTGAGGGCGCAACAGGGGGAGGTGTATCCGGGGGAGTCGTACCTGGGGGAGGTGTATCAGGGGGAGGTGTATCTGGAGGAGTCACATACCAGGCTGGCGCCATCGTCAGAGGGATAGGCGAGGAGAGGGGAGTTGGAGGGGAGTATCGAGGGTTGAGAGTGAAGAGGGAGAGGGAGGAGATGGGTGAAGGGGAAGATGGGAGGAGGGTGGCTAGGAGAGAGGAGGAATTTAGACAGGAGAGGGAGAGAGTGAGGGAGAGGGAGAGGGAAAAGGAGAGGGAAAAGGAGAGGGAGAGAGTGAGGGAGAGGGAGAGGGAAAAGGAGAGGGAAAAGGAGAGGGAGAGAGTGAGGGAGACGGAGAGGGAGAGGGAAAAGGAGAGGGAGAGAGAGAGGGAGAGGGAGAGGGAGAGGGAAAAGGAGAGGGAGGGATTGAGGGAGAGGGAGAGAGAGAGGGTGAGGGAAAAGGAGAGGGAGGTGAGGGAGAGGGGAAAGCAGAGGGAGAGGGAGGAGGGATCTGGGAGGGGCAGAGAGGAGGAGAGGTGGGAGAGAGCCAGGCTTGTGCAAGAGATGAGTGCTACAGCTGGGGCTATCGGCAGCCCAGAAAGGATAGCTGTAGCAGGCGCCTTGGCTACAACCGCTGCAGCTGCTGCTACAGTTGGCGCTCGTGCTGCTGCTGTGGTTCCTGCCAGTGCTGGTGGTGCAGTGGCTGCGGCTGTGGTTCCTGCCAATGCTAGCGGAGGTGGTGTTGCTGCTGCTGTGGTCCCTGCCAATGCTGGCGGTGCTGTGGCTGCTGCTGCAGCAGCAACAGGCAGCATCGAGGAAGCAGAAGTGCTTAGGCGAGCAGAGGTGATCCGACAGAGGACCACTGTTGTTGAGTCTGCTAGTAAAGCGGATGATGCTGAAGTGATGCACAGGGCCCAGGTGTTGAGGCAGAGGCTTGTGTCTGAGTATGCTAGGAAGAACGCTCAGCTGGTGAGGCAAGGATCAGCTAAAGGCCTAAAGGGTGATAACGGGTCTGCTGGTAACGAGGATGTTGAAGGGAGGGCAATGGGTACAGCTGCTGCTACTGCTGCTGCTGTTGCCGCTACAGCTATGGCTGGTTCTGCTGCTGCCACCACTGCAGGTGCTAGTGGTGATGGCACTGCAACGCCAGCTGATGCTATTGCTGCTGCTGCTACTACTGGAGCAGCTGTTACCACTGCCCCACCTGTTGCTGCGAGTGCTGTTACAACTGGTGCCGCAACAACCATTCTTGGTACTGCAGCCACAGCTGCTGCGGAGACCGCTACAGCCTCTGCGGCTACAGCTGCCGACGCAGCTACAGGCGGCAGTGCGGGTGACGATGCGGCAGAGGTGATGAGGCGAGCACAGGTGATCCGCCAAAGGCTGCTGGCGCAGCTGGCGGCCAAGGGCGGGGCGGGCGCTGGGAAGGACGCGAGTGGGGCGGGCAGGGAAGGGGCGGGCAGAGGAGCAGCTACTGCAGGGGTGGAAGGGAGTGGGGCGGGCAGGGGAGGGGTTGGAGCAGGGAGAGGAGGTAGTAAGGCGGGCAGAGGAGGGATTGGGGCAGGCAGAGGGGTGGTGGCAGGTGGGAGAGGGGTTGTTGTGGCAGGTGCAGGGAAGGGAATATCTGCTGCTGCTGTTGTTCGTCCTGCAGCTGGTGCTGCTGGTGGTGGTGCTGGTAATGGTGCTGCTGCCACTCCTGCCACTCCTGCCGCTCCTGCCACTGCCACTGCCAGTGCCAACCCGTCTGCTTCTGTTGCAGCTAATGTGTCTGTCAGTAGTCCAACAAGAGCAAGGGATGCAGTGGGATGGCGAGGTGGGAGCAGTCCGGGTTTGAGCAGCCCCAGCAGGAGCAGTACAGGTGGCAGGATTGGCATGGGTGTGAGGGATGTGTGGGGCAGGGGTGATGAGGAGAGGGATGGGAACGGGAGGGGTGTTGGGGGCGAGAAGGTGGTGGAGAGAAGGCTTCAGGTGTCTATTCAGGTGAAAGTGGAAGCTCATGAGGAAGCAGCTGGCAGAGTTGTGACGTCAGGTGCACCAGCAGTGACATCAGGCGCAGGGAGAGGAGTGATATCAGGCGCAGGGAGACTGGTAGCAGCAGCGCCGCCAGCAGCAGCACTGCCTGCAGCAGCAGCAGTGGCAAGAGCACCGGGGTGGTCAAGAGGAGGAGGAGCAGAAGTGATGAGGCAGGGGGCAGGGGAGACAGAGGCGATGAAAATAGATGCTCCAGCAGATGGAGGTGCTAGCATGACAGCAGCTGAAGGAGCTGCAGCTGTGGCAGCAGCAGGGGCAGCAGCAGCAGCAGGGGCAGTTGCAGAAGCAGCCGGGAAAAGCCAGGCCACCCCAGGGATGCAGATGAAAGGGAGTGCTGCTAGTGACGGTGGGTTGGAACGAGATGTGAGGAAGGAGGTGGAGGGGAGGGAGAAGGATAAGTCAGGGGAGCAGGGGAAGGAGAATGAGAAGCAGAGGGAACAGCAGAAGGAGAAGGAGAGGCAGAGGGAACAGCAGAAGGAGAAGGAGAAGCAGAGGGAGCAGCAGAAGGAGAAGGAGAAGGAGAAGGAGAAGGAGAAGCAGAGGGAGCAGCAGAAGGAGAAGGAGAAGCAGAGGGAACAGCAGAAGGAGATTGAGAAGCAGAGGGAGCAGGAGAAGGAGAAGGAGAGGCAGAGGGAACAGCAGAAGGAGAAGGAGAAGCAGAGGGAACAGCAGAAGGAGATTGAGAAGCAGAGGGAGCAGGAGGAGAAGGAGAAGCAGAGGGAACAGCAGAAGGAGAAGGAGAAGCAGAGGGAGCAGCAGAAGGAGAAGGAGAAGCAGAGGGAACAGCAGAAGGAGAAGGAGAAGCAGAGAGAACAGCAGAAGGAGATTGAGAAGCAGAGGGAGCAGCAGCAGGAGAAGGAGAAGCAGAGGGAACAGCAGAAGGAGATTGAGAATCAGAGGGAGCAGCAGAAGGAGAAGGAGAAGCAGAGGGAACAGCAGAAGGAGATTGAGAAGCAGAGGGAGCAGCAGAAGGAGAAGGAGAAGCAGATGGGACAGCAGAAGGAGCAAGAGAAGCAAAGGGAGCAGGGAAGGAAGAGGAAGGTGCAGGAGCAGCAAGGCGCGCAGGAGAAGGAGCAGGAGGATCAGCTGGAAGGGCAGGAGAGACAAGGCGGAGAGCCGCGTAAAGTAATGAAACGGGGTGAATGTGCGAGTGAGAGGAGTGTGGAAGGAGTAAGGGACATCCCTTCTGTCAGTGAAGTGGGTAAGGAGAATGGGGCAGAGGAGAAGAGTGGAGAGGAGAAGAGTGGAGAGGAGAAGAGGCAGGGGAAGGAGACGAGAAGAGCAGGGGTGTCGGGAAGGGTAAAAGAGGAGGAGGGGCAGGGAGGGGAGAGTGGGGTTGCAGATTTGAAACACGGGAGGAGGGTGGGCGAGATTACGGCTGGTGACTTGGGGCGAGGGAAGAGGCGACGAGGTGAAGAGGAGGATAGGGAGAGACGAGTGAGGGAAAGGGTGGAGGAGGATAGGCGGAGAGAGGAGGGGGGGAGACGAGAGGACGAGGGAAGGAGGGAGGAGGTGGGGAGGAGAGAGGATGGGGGAAGGAGGGAGGAGAGGGGATGGAGAGAGGAGAGAGGCAGGAGGGAGGAAGGGGGAGGGAGGGAGGAGGGTAGGAGGAGAGACGAGAGGGAAAGGAGTGAGGAGTGGCAGAGGAGGGAGGAGGGTAGTAGGAGAGAGGAGGGTAGGAGGAGAGAGGAGGGTAGGAGGAGAGAAGAGGACGGGATGAGGGAGGAGCATATGCATAAGGGAGGAGGCAGTAGGGAGAGTGGTAAGAACGAGGAAGCAAAGGGGAAGAAGAGAGAAGAGGTTGGGATGAGGGACGAGCACATGCACGAGGGAGGAGGCAGGAGGGAGAGTGGTAAGAAAGAGGAGGCAAAGGGGAAGAAGGGGGGAGTGGAGGGGGGTGAGACTGAGGAAGGCACACAAGCGAGGGTGCGGGTCCGGGTGAGAGGGAGAGGAGTGTTGGAGGGAGGGGCGAGGGAGAGGAGTGTGGATGAGTATGAGAGCCCGCTGGTGATGTTCAGGTGCTACCGGCACTCCCCCGTGTTCATGGCCCGATGGGGGGCTGTGGTGGAGTGCGGTGAGGAGGAGCAGGAGGAGGGGAAGGAAGTGCAGGAGGGGCAGGAGGAGGGGAAGGAGGAGGGGCAGGGGAGGCAGCAGGAAGGGAAGGAAGAGAAGGAAAGGAAGGAGGGGCAGGAGGGACACAGAGTGGATCAAGGGCAGAGTCAGCAAAGTCAACAGAGTCAACAACAGCAGCAGCAGCTGCAGCAGCCGGAGCGAGGTCCATCACCCCATCCGCCCCCTTCCCCACTTTCCTCTCAGGCCGTGCGAGTCCACGAGGCTTCGATCGATCCGGACCGTGTGATCTGCACCGCCCAGCTGCGCGGCCAATGCGTGGACGCCAAGTGTCGCCTGCAGCACCTGCTGCCCCACCCTGTGCGCTTTGCCCCTGTGATCAGGGTAGTGCGGGACGATGCTGAAAGGGTTGCTGATAACGTGTATGCAGTGAGTGTGGCAGGAGCAGCAGCAACAGCAGCAGCAGAAGTGGGGGGAGCAGGTGCTGAAGGAATAGAGAGGGCGGCAGAAGCAGCACAGAGTGTTAAATCACCAGCAGGGGCCAGCCAAGAAGCAGATCCGTTACAAGCTGATGCAATACAAGGGTCTGCGTTAGAAGGAAACCACTCAGTGGTGTCGCTCCTTCGAGCATCCATCTTAAAGCCCTATCTTCAACCCCACCACCTTATCCCATTGCCTGGTAAGAAACGCCAGCTTCCACCCTCCCCTGCCTTTCCCTCGCACCTCCTCCCAGTCCCTTTTCCAAAAGACACTTGGCTGCCCAGCAAACATATCACATACACCCCGATCTGCCCGCAAACGGCTCTTGGCGAATCAGGGCTCGGCGGGAAGAAGCCTCGAAAGGTTTTATCGGAGGTTTTGGCTTCTGCTGCTGAAGTGTCTTTTGCTTCAGCTGCTGCTGCTAGGAGTGGGGGGGTTGGGGGGAGATGGGGAGGAGGAGGAGGGGAAGGAGCAGGAGTGGGAGTAGAGCATGCGTGGGGAGTGGCAGAGGCAGGAGGGAGTGGGGGGAAGAGGAGTAAGGAGGGAGGGAAGGGAGATGAGGGAGAGAAGATTGGTAAGGGGAGCAGGATGAGCGTGTGGGATAGGGTGAGTGGTGTGGAGGGGGTTTTTGGAGATACGAGGGTGAGTGGGGGTGAGAGGGAGTGTGAGGGTGTGAGCGAGGGAGTGAGAGAGGGAGTGAGGGAGGAAGAGAGGTTGCCACTGCACCTTCCCCTCTCTCTGCTCCTTTCTGGAACGGTGGATTTCTGGGGCGGTGAAAGCTGTCCTGTGATTGGTGAGAGGTGCAACGTGGAGCAGACCTATTGGTCAAGGAAAGTGCGGGAATGGGAGAAGAGGGGGCGTGTGGAAAGGGAGGGGGCGGCTGAGGGGGTTACTGTGGAAGAGGGAGAGGAGGAAGAGGAAAGGAAGCAGGACAGGGACGAAAAAGGGAAGGCGGACAAGGGCAAGGGGCAGGAAGAGGAGGAAGGGAAAAGGAAGGGGACGGAAGAGGAGAAGGGAGAAGGGGGGAGAAAGAGAGACTCAAGTACAGACGTGGCAGGGGGAAAGAGAGACTCATATACAGACGTGGCGGGGAGATTCGTGTCGAAAGAGCTAGAAGACAAGACAGCTTCTCAATCCCCCTACCTCTCGCCTCTCTCTCACTCTGATCTCGCGCTCCTCTTTGCCTTCAAGCAGTTGCCCCTGCTGCCCATGCCAGCCCAGCTCCTGGGCTTGATCCACCTGAATCGGATTGACCCGTCTCTGAAGGGAATGGGGCGGCTGCTCTATGCTGTCTGTGCGCCGGAACCAACTGCTGCCACTTTGGAAACGGTGAGTCGTTATTCCCAGTTGTACCCGCCAGGCTCAGCTGCCCATGCCAGGCTAGCCAATCCACCTGAATCGGATCGGCCCGTCTCTCAAGGGAGTGGGGCGGCTGCTCTTTGCTTCTGTGCGCCGGAACCCACCGCTGCCACTTTGGAAACGGTGAGTCGTTGTTACTTCCAGTTGTACCAGCTGTACCCCCCTGCTTGTGTTCTTTGTGAATTCTAAAAAAACACACGCTCAAACATATCACCCTCCAACTGTAAGTCGTTGTTACTAGCTGTACCAGTTGTACCAGTTTGTACCCCTCAGATGCCCATGCCAGGCCAGCCCCTGGGCTTCATCCACCTGAGTCAGATAGACCCGCAGCTGAAGGGAATGGCTTGTCTTCTTTTGCCTCTTCGCCCTCCTCTCCTCGCTGCTCTCCGCCCTGCTGCAGATGATGTTTTGAGTCACCGATGCCGTAACCCCTCCCTGGCCCTCCTATCCCTCTCCCCGTGCAGGTCATCGCCTTGCTAGCGCATTTCCTGTACCACCAGCCGGGCAGCAGCGGCAGACAACTTTTTAGGTGATTCAATCAAGCCTGTTCTTTCTTACCCATCCCTCCCTCCCCTTCAGGTCATTGCCTCACTAGCGCATTTCCTGTACCACCAGCCAGGCAGCAGCAGCAGCAGCAGGTTTCTATGTTGACTCAACAGTCACCCCTGCCTTTGTCCCAACACACCCATACTCCCTCCCCTTCAGGTCATTGCCTCGCTAGCGCATTTCCTGTACCACCAGCCGGGCAGCAGCGGCAGACAACTTTTTAGGTGATTCAATCAAGCCTGTTCTTTCTTACCCATCCCTCCCTCCCCTTCAGGTCATTGCCTCACTAGCGCATTTCCTGTACCACCAGCCAGGCAGCAGCAGCAGCAGCAGGTTTCTATGTTGACTCAACAGTCACCCCTGCCTTTGTCCCAACACACCCATACTCCCTCCCCTTCAGGTCATTGCCTCGCTAGCGCATTTCCTGTACCACCAGCCGGGCAGCAGCAGCACATGGCACGCCTTCTTCCGCCTCTTCGCCCTCCTCCCCGCGCTGCTGCACCTGCCGAGGCTCCACTTCCAAATGCCCCTCCTCCCCCTTTCACACGCCCCCTTCTGTGCCCTGACTTGTCCGCCCCACCCTCTCTTCCCTGTGCAGGTCATTGCCTCGCTAGCGCATTTCCTGTACCACCAGCCGGGCAGCAGCAGCACGTGGCACGCCTTTTTTCACATGGCTTTTTCCTCCTCGCACCTTCCTCTCCCCCTCCCATCCCTCCCCGTCAGGTCATCGCCTCGCTAGCACATTTCCTGTACCACCAGCCGGGCAGCAGCAGCACGTGGCACGTCTTATTCCGCCTCTTCGCCCTCCTCCCCGCGCTGCTGCACCTGCCGTGGCTCTACGTTTTGACTGCCCCCCTTCTTCCCATCCCTCCCCTTCAGGTCATTGCCTCGCTAGCGCATTTCCTGTACCACCAGCCAGGCAGCAGCAGCACGTGGCATGTCTTCTTCCGCCTTTTTGCCCTCCTCCCCGCGCTGCTGCACCTGCCGTGGCTCTACTGCATGGCGCGGCTTCGGAGGGAGGTTGAAGTCAAGGAGCAGATGGGCGCGCTCGTTCAGTGCTGTGTGAGTGGGTGTTGGGTGTGTGTGCTTGGGTGATCGTGAAAGGGTATGTGTGGGTTGGTTGCTGCTGCACCTGCCGTGGCTTTACTGCATGGCGCGGCTTCGCAGGGAGGTTGAAGTCAAGGAGCAGATGGCAGCGCTGGTGCAGTGCTGTGTGAGTGGGTGGGCCTGCTGTGTGAGTGGGTGGCCCTGCTGTGTGAGTGGGTGGCCCTGCTGTGTGAGTGGGTGGGCCTGCTGTGTGAGTGGGTGGCCCTGCTGTGTGAGTGGGTGGGCCTCCTGTGTGAGTGGGTGGCCCTGCTGTGTGAGTGGGTGGCCCTGCTGTGTGAGTGGGTGGGCCGTGCTGTGTGAGTGGGTGGGCCCTGCTGTGTGAGTGGGTGGGCCTGCTGTGTGAGTGGGTGGCCCTGCTGTGTGAGTGGGTGGCCCTGCTGTGTGAGTGGGTGGGCCGTGCTGTGTGAGTGGGTGGGCCCTGCTGTGTGAGTGGGTGGGCCTGCTGTGTGAGTGGGTGGCCCTGCTGTGTGAGTGGGTGGCCCTGCTGTGTGAGTGGGTGGGCCGTGCTGTGTGAGTGGGTGGGCCCTGCTGTGTGAGTGGGTGGGCCTGCTGTGTGAGTGGGTGGCCCTGCTGTGTGAGTGGGTGGCCCTGCTGTGTGAGTGGGTGGCCCTGCTGTGTGAGTGGGTGGGCCCTGCTGTGTGAGTGGGTGGGCCCTGCTGTGTGAGTGGGTGGGCCCTGCTGTGTGAGTGGGTGGCCCTGCTGTGTGAGTGGGTGGGCCCTGCTGTGTGAGTGGGTGGGCCCTGCTGTGTGAGTGGGTGGGCCCTGCTGTGTGAGTGGGTGGCCCTGCTGTGTGAGTGGGTGGGCCCTGCTGTGTGAGTGGGTGGGCCCTGCTGTGTGAGTGGGTGGGCCCTGCTGTGTGAGTGGGTGGGCCCTGCTGTGTGAGTGGGTGGGCCCTGCTGTGTGAGTGGGTGGCCCTGCTGTGTGAGTGGGTGGGCCCTGCTGTGTGAGTGGGTGGGCCCTGCTGTGTGAGTGGGTGGGCCCTGCTGTGTGAGTGGGTGGGCCCTGCTGTGTGAGTGGGTGGGCCCTGCTGTGTGAGTGGGTGGGCCCTGCTGTGTGAGTGGGTGGCCCTGCTGTGTGAGTGGGTGGCCCTGCTGTGTGAGTGGGTGGGCCCTGCTGTGTGAGTGGGTGGCCCTGCTGTGTGAGTGGGTGGGCCCTGCTGTGTGAGTGGGTGGCCCTGCTGTGTGAGTGGGTGGCCCTGCTGTGTGAGTGGGTGGCCCTGCTGTGTGAGTGGGTGGCCCTGCTGTGTGAGTGGGTGGCCCTGCTGTGTGAGTGGGTGGGCCCTGCTGTGTGAGTGGGTGGGCCCTGCTGTGTGAGTGGGTGGGCCCTGCTGTGTGAGTGGGTGGGCCCTGCTGTGTGAGTGGGTGGGCCCTGCTGTGTGAGTGGGTGGCCCTGCTGTGTGAGTGGGTGGGCCCTGCTGTGTGAGTGGGTGGCCCTGCTGTGTGAGTGGGTGGGCCTGCTGTGTGAGTGGGTGGCCCTGCTGTGTGAGTGGGTGGCCCTGCTGTGTGAGTGGGTGGCCCTGCTGTGTGAGTGGTTGGCCCTGCTGTGTGAGTGGGTGGGCCCTGCTGTGTGAGTGGGTGGGCCCTGCTGTGTGAGTGGGTGGGCCCTGCTGTGTGAGTGGGTGGGCCCTGCTGTGTGAGTGGGTGGCCCTGCTGTGTGAGTGGGTGGGCCCTGCTGTGTGAGTGGGTGGCCCTGCTGTGTGAGTGGGTGGGCCTGCTGTGTGAGTGGGTGGCCCTGCTGTGTGAGTGGGTGGCCCTGCTGTGTGAGTGGGTGGCCCTGCTGTGTGAGTGGGTGGCCCTGCTGTGTGAGTGGGTGGCCCTGCTGTGTGAGTGGGTGGCCCTGCTGTGTGAGTGGGTGGGCCCTGCTGTGTGAGTGGGTGGGCCCTGCTGTGTGAGTGGGTGGGCCCTGCTGTGTGAGTGGGTGGGCCCTGCTGTGTGAGTGGGTGGGCCCTGCTGTGTGAGTGGGTGGCCCTGCTGTGTGAGTGGGTGGGCCCTGCTGTGTGAGTGGGTGGCCCTGCTGTGTGAGTGGGTGGGCCTGCTGTGTGAGTGGGTGGCCCTGCTGTGTGAGTGGGTGGCCCTGCTGTGTGAGTGGGTGGCCCTGCTGTGTGAGTGGTTGGCCCTGCTGTGTGAGTGGGTGGGCCCTGCTGTGTGAGTGGGTGGGCCCTGCTGTGTGAGTGGGGGTGTTGGGATGTGTGGTGCCTGCTGTGTGAGTGGGTGGCCCTGCTGTGTGAGTGGGTGGGCCCTGCTGTGTGAGTGGGTGGGCCCTGCTGTGTGAGTGGGTGGGCCCTGCTGTGTGAGTGGGTGGGCCCTGCTGTGTGAGTGGGTGGGCCCTGCTGTGTGAGTGGGTGGGCCCTGCTGTGTGAGTGGGTGGGCCCTGCTGTGTGAGTGGGTGGGCCCTGCTGTGTGAGTGGGTGGCCCTGCTGTGTGAGTGGGTGGGCCGTGCTGTGTGAGTGGGTGGGCCCTGCTGTGTGAGTGGGTGGGCCTGCTGTGTGAGTGGGTGGCCCTGCTGTGTGAGTGGGTGGCCCTGCTGTGTGAGTGGGTGGCCCTGCTGTGTGAGTGGGTGGGCCCTGCTGTGTGAGTGGGTGGGCCCTGCTGTGTGAGTGGGTGGGCCCTGCTGTGTGAGTGGGTGGCCCTGCTGTGTGAGTGGGTGGGCCCTGCTGTGTGAGTGGGTGGGCCCTGCTGTGTGAGTGGGTGGGCCCTGCTGTGTGAGTGGGTGGCCCTGCTGTGTGAGTGGGTGGGCCCTGCTGTGTGAGTGGGTGGGCCCTGCTGTGTGAGTGGGTGGGCCCTGCTGTGTGAGTGGGTGGGCCCTGCTGTGTGAGTGGGTGGGCCCTGCTGTGTGAGTGGGTGGCCCTGCTGTGTGAGTGGGTGGGCCCTGCTGTGTGAGTGGGTGGGCCCTGCTGTGTGAGTGGGTGGCCCTGCTGTGTGAGTGGGTGGCCCTGCTGTGTGAGTGGGTGGGCCTGCTGTGTGAGTGGGTGGCCCTGCTGTGTGAGTGGGTGGCCCTGCTGTGTGAGTGGGTGGCCCTGCTGTGTGAGTGGGTGGCCCTGCTGTGTGAGTGGGTGGCCCTGCTGTGTGAGTGGGTGGCCCTGCTGTGTGAGTGGGTGGCCCTGCTGTGTGAGTGGGTGGCCCTGCTGTGTGAGTGGGTGGGCCCTGCTGTGTGAGTGGGTGGGCCCTGCTGTGTGAGTGGGTGGGCCCTGCTGTGTGAGTGGGTGGCCCTGCTGTGTGAGTGGGTGGGCCCTGCTGTGTGAGTGGGTGGCCCTGCTGTGTGAGTGGGTGGCCCTGCTGTGTGAGTGGGTGGCCCTGCTGTGTGAGTGGGTGGCCCTGCTGTGTGAGTGGGTGGCCCTGCTGTGTGAGTGGGTGGCCCTGCTGTGTGAGTGGGTGGCCCTGCTGTGTGAGTGGGTGGCCCTGCTGTGTGAGTGGGTGGGCCTGCTGTGTGAGTGGGTGGCCCTGCTGTGTGAGTGGGTGGCCCTGCTGTGTGAGTGGGTGGCCCTGCTGTGTGAGTGGGTGGGCCCTGCTGTGTGAGTGGGTGGGCCCTGCTGTGTGAGTGGGGGTGTTGGGATGTGTGGTGCCTGCTGTGTGAGTGGGTGGCCCTGCTGTGTGAGTGGGTGGGCCCTGCTGTGTGAGTGGGTGGCCCTGCTGTGTGAGTGGGTGGGCCTGCTCTGTGAGTGGGTGGCCCTGCTGTGTGAGTGGGTGGCCCTGCTGTGTGAGTGGGTGGCCCTGCTGTGTGAGTGGGTGGCCCTGCTGTGTGAGTGGGTGGGCCCTGCTGTGAGAGTGGGTGGGCCCTGCTGTGTGAGTGGGTGGGCCCTGCTGTGTGAGTGGGTGGCCCTGCTGTGTGAGTGGGTGGCCCTGCTGTGTGAGTGGGTGGGCCTGCTGTGTGAGTGGTGTGAGAATCCCATAGTTGGGATGAGTGGTGAACTCAAGAGTTGATATCATTAGGAAAAACGTGGGTACATATAGGAGAGAAACTTGAGGGTGACTTGGAGAGGTACCCAAAGCATTATTGGTGGACCAATAAGAGTGGTCACCAACTTTGGGCTGACCTTCAATTATTGGAGGGACCAATAATGGTTGGGATGAACCAATCAAGTGAGGTCGAGTGGGTTTGGGGTGCACCCAACCAAACCTGGTCCAAAGTGTACACCCACATTGGGTGTAACACTAGCACCAATATAAACTGACATATGCTATATTCTAACACAACCCCTTAGGATAAGAAGTTTATAATGGTTCACAACCCCTGAAGTATGAAGCCGATGCCAGGCCAAAAAGCCGAAGGAAAGGGGCGAAAGGGGAGGTTGCAAGCCAGCCGAAGGTACTGCGGCGGTGAGGTCGCACGCCAGCTGGGAGGGGGGCTGCTGCAGGTGAGGAGGCAAGCCAGCCGAAGGTGCTGCGGCGGTGAGGTCGCACGCCAGCCGGGAGAGGGGCTGCTGCAGGTGAGGAGGCAAGCCAGCCCAAGGTGCTGCGGCGGTGAGGTCGCACGCCAGCCGGGAGAGGGGCTGCTGCAGGTGAGGAGGCAAGCCAGCCCAAGGTGCTGCGGCGGTGAGGTCGCACGCCAGCCGGGAGGGGGGCTGCTGCAGGTGAGGAGGCGAGCTAGCCAAAGGTGCTGCGGCGGTGAGGTCGCACGCCAGCCGGGTGGGGGGCTGCTGCAGGTGAGGAGGCGAGCTAGCCAAAGGTGCTGCGGCGGTGAGGTCGCACGCCAGCCGGGAGGGGGGCTGCTGCAGGTGAGGAGGCAAGCCAGCCCAAGGTGCTGCGGCGGTGAGGTCGCACGCCGGCCGGGAGGGGGGGCTGCTGCAGGTGAGGAGGCAAGCCAGCCCAAGGTGCTGCGGCGGTGAGGTCGCACGCCAGCCGGGAGGGGGGGGCTGCTGCAGGTGAGGAGGCAAGCCAGCCCAAGGTGCTGCGGCGGTGAGGTCGCACGCCAGCCGGGAGGGGGGCTGCTGCAGGTGAGGAGGCGAGCTAGCCCAAGGTGCTGCGGCGGTGAGGTCGCACGCCAGCCGGGAGGGGGGCTGCTGCAGGTGAGGAGGCAAGCCAGCCCAAGGTGCTGCGGCGGTGAGGTCGCACGCCAGCCGGGAGGGGGGCTGCTGCAGGTGAGGAGGCAAGCCAGCCCAAGGTGCTGCGGCGGTGAGGTCGCACGCCAGCCGGGAGGGGGGCTGCTGCAGGTGAGGAGGCAAGCCAGCCCAAGGTGCTGCGGCGGTGAGGTCGCACGCCAGCCGGGAGGGGGGCTGCTGCAGGTGAGGAGGCAAGCCAGCCCAAGGTGCTGCGGCAGTGAGGTCGCACACCAGCCGGGAGGGGGGGGCTGCTGCAGGTGAGGAGGCAAGCCAGCCCAAGGTGCTGCGGCGGTGAGGTCGCACGCCAGCCGGGAGGGGGGCTGCTGCAGGTGAGGAGGCGAGCTAGCCAAAGGTGCTGCGGCGGTGAGGTCGCACGCCAGCCGGGAGGGGGGCTGCTGCAGGTGAGGAGGCAAGCCAGCCGAAGGTGCTGCGGCGGTGAGGTCGCACGCCAGCCGGGAGAGGGGCTGCTGCAGGTGAGGAGGCAAGCCAGCCCAAGGTGCTGCGGCGGTGAGGTCGCACGCCAGCCGGGAGGGGGGCTGCTGCAGGTGAGGAGGCGAGCTAGCCAAAGGTGCTGCGGCGGTGAGGTCGCACGCCAGCCGGGAGGGGGGCTGCTGCAGGTGAGGAGGCAAGCCAGCCGAAGGTGCTGCGGCGGTGAGGTCGCACGCCAGCCGGGAGAGGGGCTGCTGCAGGTGAGGAGGCAAGCCAGCCCAAGGTGCTGCGGCGGTGAGGTCGCACGCCAGCCGGGAGGGGGGCTGCTGCAGGTGAGGAGGCAAGCCAGCCCAAGGTGCTGCGGCGGTGAGGTCGCACGCCAGCCGGGAGGGGGGCTGCTGCAGGTGAGGAGGCAAGCCAGCCCAAGGTGCTGCGGCGGTGAGGTCGCACGCCGGCCGGGAGGGGGGGCTGCTGCAGGTGAGGAGGCAAGCCAGCCCAAGGTGCTGCGGCGGTGAGGTCGCACGCCAGCCGGGAGGGGGGGGCTGCTGCAGGTGAGGAGGCAAGCCAGCCCAAGGTGCTGCGGCGGTGAGGTCGCACGCCAGCCGGGAGGGGGGCTGCTGCAGGTGAGGAGGCGAGCTAGCCCAAGGTGCTGCGGCGGTGAGGTCGCACGCCAGCCGGGAGGGGGGCTGCTGCAGGTGAGGAGGCAAGCCAGCCCAAGGTGCTGCGGCGGTGAGGTCGCACGCCAGCTGGGAGGGGGGCTGCTGCAGGTGAGGAGGCAAGCCAGCCCAAGGTGCTGCGGCGGTGAGGTCGCACGCCAGCCGGGAGGGGGGCTGCTGCAGGTGAGGAGGCAAGCCAGCCCAAGGTGCTGCGGCGGTGAGGTCGCACGCCAGCCGGGAGGGGGGGCTGCTGCAGGTGAGGAGGCAAGCCAGCCCAAGGTGCTGCGGCGGTGAGGTCGCACGCCAGCCGGGAGGGGGGGGCTGCTGCAGGTGAGGAGGCAAGCCAGCCCAAGGTGCTGAGGCGGTGAGGTCGCACGCCAGCTGGGAGGGGGGCTGCTGCAGGTGAGGAGGCAAGCCAGCCCAAGGTGCTGCGGCGGTGAGGTCGCACGCCAGCCGGGAGGGGGGGGGCTGCTGCAGGTGAGGAGGCAAGCCAGCCCAAGGTGCTGCGGCGGTGAGGTGGCACGCCAGCCGGGAGGGGGGCTGCTGCAGGTGAGGAGGCGAGCTAGCCCAAGGTGCTGCGGCGGTGAGGTCGCACGCCAGCCGGGAGGGGGGCTGCTGCAGGTGAGGAGGCAAGCCAGCCCAAGGTGCTGCGGCAGTGAGGTCGCACACCAGCCGGGAGGGGGGGCCTGCTGCAGGTGAGGAGGCAAGCCAGCCCAAGGTGCTGCGGCGGTGAGGTCGCACGCCAGCCGGGAGTGGGGCTGCTGCAGGTGAGGAGGCGAGCTAGCCAAAGGTGCTGCGGCGGTGAGGTCGCACGCCAGCCGGGAGGGGGGCTGCTGCAGGTGAGGAGGCAAGCCAGCCGAAGGTGCTGCGGCGGTGAGGTCGCACGCCAGCCGGGAGAGGGGCTGCTGCAGGTGAGGAGGCAAGCCAGCCCAAGGTGCTGCGGCGGTGAGGTCGCACGCCAGCCGGGAGGGGGGCTGCTGCAGGTGAGGAGGCAAGCCAGCCCAAGGTGCTGCGGCGGTGAGGTCGCACGCCGGCCGGGAGGGGGGGCTGCTGCAGGTGAGGAGGCAAGCCAGCCCAAGGTGCTGCGGCGGTGAGGTCGCACGCCAGCCGGGAGGGGGGCTGCTGCAGGTGAGGAGGCGAGCTAGCCAAAGGTGCTGCGGCGGTGAGCTCGCACGCCAGCCGGGAGGGGGGCTGCTGCAGGTGAGGAGGCAAGCCAGCCGAAGGTGCTGCGGCGGTGAGGTCGCACGCCAGCCGGGAGAGGGGCTGCTGCAGGTGAGGAGGCAAGCCAGCCCAAGGTGCTGCGGCGGTGAGGTCGCACGCCAGCCGGGAGGGGGGCTGCTGCAGGTGAGGAGGCAAGCCAGCCCAAGGTGCTGCGGCGGTGAGGTCGCACGCCAGCCGGGAGGGGGGCTGCTGCAGGTGAGGAGGCGAGCTAGCCCAAGGTGCTGCGGCGGTGAGGTCGCACGCCAGCCGGGAGGGGGGCTGCTGCAGGTGAGGAGGCAAGCCAGCCCAAGGTGCTGCGGCGGTGAGGTCGCACGCCAGCTGGGAGGGGGGCTGCTGCAGGTGAGGAGGCAAGCCAGCCCAAGGTGCTGCGGCGGTGAGGTCGCACGCCAGCCGGGAGGGGGGCTGCTGCAGGTGAGGAGGCAAGCCAGCCCAAGGTGCTGCGGCGGTGAGGTCGCACGCCGGCCGGGAGGGGGGGCTGCTGCAGGTGAGGAGGCAAGCCAGCCCAAGGTGCTGCGGCGGTGAGGTCGCACGCCAGCCGGGAGGGGGGGGCTGCTGCAGGTGAGGAGGCAAGCCAGCCCAAGGTGCTGCGGCGGTGAGGTCGCACGCCAGCCGGGAGGGGGGCTGCTGCAGGTGAGGAGGCGAGCTAGCCCAAGGTGCTGCGGCGGTGAGGTCGCACGCCAGCCGGGAGGGGGGCTGCTGCAGGTGAGGAGGCAAGCCAGCCCAAGGTGCTGCGGCGGTGAGGTCGCACGCCAGCCGGGAGGGGGGCTGCTGCAGGTGAGGAGGCAAGCCAGCCCAAGGTGCTGCGGCGGTGAGGTCGCACGCCAGCCGGGAGGGGGGCTGCTGCAGGTGAGGAGGCAAGCCAGCCCAAGGTGCTGCGGCGGTGAGGTCGCACGCCAGCCGGGAGGGGGGGCTGCTGCAGGTGAGGAGGCAAGCCAGCCCAAGGTGCTGCGGCGGTGAGGTCGCACGCCAGCCGGGAGGGGGGGGCTGCTGCAGGTGAGGAGGCAAGCCAGCCCAAGGTGCTGAGGCGGTGAGGTCGCACGCCAGCTGGGAGGGGGGCTGCTGCAGGTGAGGAGGCAAGCCAGCCCAAGGTGCTGCGGCGGTGAGGTCGCACGCCAGCCGGGAGGGGGGGGCTGCTGCAGGTGAGGAGGCAAGCCAGCCCAAGGTGCTGCGGCGGTGAGGTGGCACGCCAGCCGGGAGGGGGGCTGCTGCAGGTGAGGAGGCGAGCTAGCCCAAGGTGCTGCGGCGGTGAGGTCGCACGCCAGCCGGGAGGGGGGCTGCTGCAGGTGAGGAGGCAAGCCAGCCCAAGGTGCTGCGGCAGTGAGGTCGCACACCAGCCGGGAGGGGGGGGCTGCTGCAGGTGAGGAGGCAAGCCAGCCCAAGGTGCTGCGGCGGTGAGGTCGCACGCCAGCCGGGAGGGAGGGGCTGCTGCTTTTTTTTTTTTTTTTTTTTTTTTTTCAAAGATAGTCAAGGGTGGAAGGAGGGGAAGCGGAATGGATGGTCTGGAGTAGGAGGGAGAATAGGAAAGGAGGGCTGGATGGCCCTTTGGAGGAGGAGGCGAGGGGGAAGGGGGAGGAGGGCAAGATTGCCCTTAGGAGGAGGAGGAAGCGAGGGGGAGGGGGGGGAGGAGGGCTGGATTGCCCTTAGGAGGAGGAAGCGAAGTTGAAGAGGGCTGGAATGCCCTGAGGAGGAGGAAGCGAGGGGGGAGGAGGGCTGGAATGCCCTGAGGAGGAGGAAGCGAGGGGGGAGGAGGGCTGGAATGCCCTGAGGAGGAGGAAGCGAGGGGGGAGGAGGGCTGGAATGCCCTGAGGAGGAGGAAGCGAGGGGGGAGGAGGGCTGGAATGCCCTGAGGAGGAGGAAGCGAGGGGGGAGGAGGGCTGGAATGCCCTGAGGAGGAGGAAGCGAGGGGGGAGGAGGGCTGGAATGCCCTGAGGAGGAGGAAGCGAGGGGGGAGGAGGGCTGGAATGCCCTGAGGAGGAGGAAGCGAGGGGGGAGGAGGGCTGGAATGCCCTGAGGAGGAGGAAGCGAGGGGGGAGGAGGGCTGGAAAGCCCTGAGGAGGAGGAAGCGAGGGGGGAGGAGGGCTGGAATGCCCTGAGGAGGAGGAAGCGAGGGGGGAGGAGGGCTGGAATGCCCTGAGGAGGAGGAAGCAAGGGGAGACGCGGAAGCGAGGGGGGAGGGGAGTGCTGCAAGGCCCTGAGGAGGAGAAGGCGAGGGGAGAGGAGGCTAAAAGGCTTCAAGGAGGAGGTACAGAGGGAAAAAGGGGCGGAAGCGTGTTGAAGAGAGGGTGAAGGTGTGGAGGAACGCTGTGAGGAGCGGCGTGGTGGGCGAAATGCCCTCGGGAGCGAGACTGACGGGCGAAATGCCCTCGGGAGCGAAACTGACGGGCGAAATGCCCTCGGGAGCGAAACTGACGGGCGAAATGCCCTTGGGAGCGAAACTGACGGGCGAAATGCCCTCGGGAGCGAAACTGACGGGCGAAATGCCCTCGGGAGCGAAACTGACGGGCGAAATGCCCTTGGGAGCGAAACTGACGGGCGAAATGCCCTCGGGAGCGAAACTGACGGGCGAAACGCCCTCGGGAGCGAAACTGACGGGCGAAATGCCCTCGGGAGCGAAACTGACGGGCGAAATGCCCTCGGGAGCGAAACTGACGGGCGAAATGCCCTCGGGAGCGAGATTGACGGTCGACGCGTTCGTCCCGCAGGTCCGCGCGTTCGTCCCGCAGGTCAGCGCGTTCGTCCCGCAGGTCAGCGCGTTCGTCCCGCAGGTCCGCGCGTTCGTCCCGCAGGTCCGCGCGTTCGTCCCGCAGGTCCGCGAGCTCGTCCCGCAGGTCCGCGCGTTCGTCCCGCAGGTCAGCGCGTTTGTCCCGCAGGTCCGCGCGTTCGTCCTGCTGGTCGGTGCGGATAAGTGCCGCAAACGCCGCGAAGGGAAGCCTGAGGAAGGGGAGCAGGCTTGTGGTGCAAAGACCATGAAGGTGGCACAGGGCCGAGGATCTCCTAGGACAGCACGGTGGCTGGAGGTTCCTAGGGAGGGGGAAGGTGGCGTTAGCCAAAACAGCTCTATACCATGTGAGAATCCCATAGTTGGGATGAGTGGTGAACTCAAGAGTTGATATCATTAGGAAAAACGTGGGTACATATAGGAGAGAAACTTGAGGGTGACTTGGAGAGGTACCCAAAGCATTATTGGTGGACCAATAAGAGTGGTCACCAACTTTGGGCTGACCTTCAATTATTGGAGGGACCAATAATGGTTGGGATGAACCAATCAAGTGAGGTCGAGTGGGTTTGGGGTGCACCCAACCAAACCTGGTCCAAAGTGTACACCCACATTGGGTGTAACACTAGCACCAATATAAACTGACATATGCTATATTCTAACAAGTGGGTGGCCCTGCTGTGTGAGTGGGTGGCCCTGCTGTGTGAGTGGGTGGCCCTGCTGTGTGAGTGGGTGGGCCCTGCTGTGTGAGTGGGTGGGCCCTGCTGTGTGAGTTGGGGTGTTGGGATGTGTGGTGCCTGCTGTGTGAGTGGGTGGCCCTGCTGTGTGAGTGGGTGGGCCCTGCTGTGTGAGTGGGTGGGCCCTGCTGTGTGAGTGGGTGGGCCCTGCTGTGTGAGTGGGTGGCCCTGCTGTGTGAGTGGGTGGCCCTGCTGTGTGAGTGGGTGGGCCCTGCTGTGTGAGTGGGTGGGCCTGCTGTGTAAGTGGGTGGGCCTGCTGTGTAAGTGGGTGGCCCTGCTGTGTGAGTGGGTGGCCCTGCTGTGTGAGTGGGTGGCCCTGCTGTGTGAGTGGGTGGGCCCTGCTGTGTGAGTGGGTGGGCCCTGCTGTGTGAGTGGGTGGGCCCTGCTGTGTGAGTGGGGGTGTTGGGATGTGTGGTGCCTGCTGTGTGAGTGAATGATGGGCCGTTAATGGTGCCTGCTGTGTGAGTGGGTGTTGGGCGATTTTCCTCTGGTCTCGCGTCTTACATTCTCTTCTTACATTTTTCTCTCTCCCCCCTGCCCTCTCCCCTGTCCACAGTCTCTCTACCTCCCCTCATGGCATCAACTGCAATGGCACAAGGCGGCAGCACAAGTCTCAAGCACAGCAGCGGCAGATACCTGGACCAACACTCTCCTCCTCCTCTCCCACTGCCCCCTCCTCCCCTCACACACTCCCTCCCCCTCACTCCCCTCTCTAGCCCACACCCCTCCCTCTCCTCCCCTTCCGCCTCCGCCTCTCCTCCTCCTCGTCCCCTTGGGCTCTGATGCAGCAGCAGAGATGCAAGAGAAAGGAGCAGCGCTAGACTCAATCACTCCCCATCTGCGCTCCTCCCTCGGCCTATCAAACCCTAACGCCGCCCCCTCGCAAGCGCAATCATCCCGCGTTTCTTCGGCCGCTACACCCCAAGGGGTGTCACTCTCGGGTCTTTTGAGTCAACTCCCGCCCCCCATGTCCACCCCGCCTGTGGTTGACCCGGTCAACGCGAGTCAACGCAGTGCAGAGGCGCTTGACTGTGCGCTGCAGCTGCTGCTGGTGTGGGGGGAGGGCGGGGAGGGGAGGAAGGTGTGGGAGTGGGTCGGGATGGTGGTGAGTGCGGTGGAGAGGTATGGGGAGGGGGAAAGGGAGGGAGGTGTAGGAGAGGACGAGGACGGGGGCAAGGGACAGGGAGGAGGGGCGGTGGAGGAAGGAGAAATTAGTGGAGGAGAAATGGCAGCAGCACTAACAGCAACATCAGCACCAACAGCGGCAGCACCAGCGACAGCAGCAGCAGAGGCGTTACTATCCTGCCTCACACCGCTTGATGCTGCTGTCTTTTTCCTCTCTGCCGCCCACCTTCTCTCCGCCGGCCGCTTTCCTGACACTGTCGCAGCCAAGATCGGATTCAGGCAAGATTTGATTCCGCTGGTGGACATGAACTGGGCGGCAGGTTGTCAGCATGTGGGGTGGGTGTTGCCTGAGGGAGAGCAAATGGTTGGGGCTGTTCTGGAAGCTGCAAGGAAGTTTCTTGCAATGAAGGCCAGAGAAGCGGTGGAGGAGAGGCAGCAAGGAGAGAAAGAAAGAGGGAAAGAGCAAGAAGGGGGGCGAGAGGGCGAGGGGTTGCTGTTGGCACGTGTTGCTGTTGCAATCTCCCTGGTAAGATATGCAGCCTGCAACAGACAGCCAGGTGTTTCCTCAGGTGTGGCTTCAGGTGCTGACGGTCTTTCTCCTCCTGTTTCATCCCCTCTACAGTCTGATTCGTTATCCTCTTCTGTATACGCAGCCACTTTAGAAGCTGTTGGTAGTGTTTTGAAAGAGCTGTTATGGGGAGAAGGCGAGGATGCGAGTGACTTTAATAAGGGACTTAGTATGGGAGATGCTTGTAAGGAGTATGAAATGCTGGTAGAGCTAGTGGTGGTGTGTGTGTGGGCGCTGGCAGAAACAGGGGGGGCAGAGGGAGTGAGGGAGGGAGTGAGAGTGTGGGAACGAGCAGAGAACGCGCTTTTCGGTGGCAAAGGGGAGGAGGAAAGGAAGGAGGGTGGGGGAGAGGAGGGAAGGAAGGAGGGAGGAAGGGCAGAGGAGGGAGATGGAGGGGAAGAAAGCGAGGGGGATGAGAGAGGGGGGAGTGGAGGACGAGGGAGGGGGAGGGGTGGGAAGAGGGCGAAAGGGCAAGGGAGAGGAAGAGGGAGAGGGAGAGGCAAGAAAGGAAAAGCAGCGGCAGCAGCAGAAGCAGAGGCAGCAGCAGCAGCAGCCGCCGAAGCAGAAGCAGCAGCGGCGGCAGCAGCAGCAGAGGCTGCAGCGGCAGCAAGAGCTGCTGCATATTGCCGATTCATCTTCTTCCGAGCTCTCTTCTCCCTCCAGTACTGTCAAACGGAGCCGCCCAGCCTGCACGAGCAGCAGGCTAACACCCAGGCAACGGGCGGCACTGGTGGTGTTTTCCAGTCAAAGCTGGCAACGGGCGGCACTGGTGGTGGTGGTGGTGCAGTGTATGGGCTCATGTGTTGCTCTCTGCGCGACTTGCTCCACTCTAGAGATCTTGTAGTGTCGCCGTCTCTCGCAGCTGTTGCAGCTGGTGCTGATAATGCTGCTGGTGCTGCTGCTGCTGGCGCTGATGATGGGGTTTGCATGGATATGGAAAGCAGTGCTACTAAGCTTGCAGCAGCAGCAGCGAGTGCAGCAGTGAGGGAGGCAGTGAGGAGCGGGGGTTACCTGCATGTGAGGGATTCTGTCCATTGGGCCCTCGCTCTTGCTGCTGCTCATCCTTCCGCTGCCGCCCACTCTCCCACTGCTGCTCACACTCCCACTGCTCTTAATCCTTCAGCCTCTGTTGACCCTTCCGGTTCCCATCCCTCCACTGCCCCTTCTCTGGACTCTTCCGTCCCTCCTCCCCACCCCCCTCTCTCCATCCCTTCTCTCCTCCGTTGGGCTCAATCACACTCACTCCTCCACCACCTCCTCCCTCCTCTCCGCCCTCTCTTCCCCTCCTCTTCCCTCACACCATCAACCAGCCACCTCCCCTCCCCCTCATCTCCCTTCACCTCAGAATACCTTCCTCAAGTGCAACAGGCCCTCTCGTTCCTCCTAGGCCCTCCCAATTCCGACTTCTCTCTCCTCAACACGTGTCTGGGGATCGGCTTTGCTCCTTCAGTCATTTCTCTCGCTGCTCCTGCTCCTGCTCCTGCTCCTGCTCCTGCTCCTGCTCCTGCTTTGAGTGCTCTTTCTCGCACCCCATCTTTTCCTCCTAATCACCCCGAAGAGGCTCGGCAGCTAGAGCAGGTTCGGCAAACCCTGGACCTCCTGCCTCGGAACGTGCCTCTTGCCCGAACCTACCTACACCTCCTGTTCGGTAACATCCTCCCGAACGTGCTCCAAGCCACGGCTGCTGCAACGGCTGCAGCTTCGGAAGCTGCTTCGAAGCCAAAGCCGAAGCAGAAAGGGAGGTCCGGCGAAGGTACCGAGCCTGTTACACTACCACCGACCGTCAACCCGTCCCAACTGACCCATGCGGTTACCGTGTTACTAACGGCGTTGCAGCAGGGGGGAGGGGGGGTGGGAGCAGCAGCAGGGGGGGCGGGGTCGGGTCATCCTGGCTGGGAGGCGGAATGGACGGTGCTGATCGACGTTGTGGATGTGATCATGGTGAATCGGACGGCTGCGTGCGCGATGGCTCGTGTGGCTGTGGCTATCCACCCTCTGTCGAAGCAACTGCAGGATAGAGAGGTGGGCGGACCGTGGGGGGGAAGAAGGGGGAGGAGGGGAAAAGAGTTTTGGGGCTGGGAAGAGTTGGAGAGTGGAGAAAGAGTGGGGAAGGGAAGGGTAGGAACTGGAGGGTTGTTGTAAGGCTGTATAACATTTCATTTATGTGTTGATGCGGGCTTTTAACTCTGTTTTTTGTGTGCCTTTCTGTTTGTGGTTGTGTTTGTATGTCTCTTATGGTGTGTGGTGGGTGTATTTGTGGGGGAATGAGGCAGGGGGGTGGGCGGGTGTTTGTGTGATTTTGGGGGATTGGGGAGGGGCAAGAAGAGGATGTGGGGAATTTGACGCTTGTTGTTGTGTGTGTGTATGGTGGTGGGGGCTGACCCATGCTTGTGCATGTTGGGTTGTGGTGTGTGTGTGTGGTGAGCGAGTGTTTGTGTGTGCCTACCTTGGGTGTGCGAAACTTCATGTGTGCGTGTGGATGCAAGGGGAAGGTTGAGTCACAAATGGGCATGCTTGTGCGGATGTGCGCAATTGTGTGTGTACGTGTGTGCGAGCCTGTGCTTGTGCATGTGCATGTGCATGTGTGCACGTATGTGCACGTGTGCGTGCGCATGTGCATGCATGGTGTGCGCATTGTGATGTGTGTGTGTGTGTGTGCGTTTATGTGTGTGTGCGTGTGTGTGTCTGTGCTACTGTGACAGGCAAAGCTCAACCCAAAAGCAACACAGAAGAGGGAGAAAGCCCAAGCCCATCCCACCAACCGTTATGCGTGAGCTCAGTGCGGTGCAGAGCAGTCCAAAGGGTGAGAAAGGCAGAGCAGCACAGAGCAATGCCGTGCAAAAGCGGCACAGAAGAGGGAGCAAGCCCAAATTTATGCCGCCAATCAGTATGCATGAGCTCAGCAGGACAAGGCACGCCAGGGAAGAGCAGGGCAGGGAAGAGTGTTGCAGTGCTGTGCAGAACGGTGCATTGCGGTGAAGAGGGTGAAGAGGGCAACACACCGATTGTGGAGGAGATGGGCCAGAAGCACCCACTTATGGACGGGTAAGGCGCAAGGGGCAAGCCCCTGTTAAGGTGAGTAGGTCGCAAAGGGTGCAGTAAGTCCGGCTAAGAGTTTCATAACACCCTTTATCAGGTTGTTTGGTTGGATGAGGTTATTTCATGGGTAAGGTTTGAGGTGCAGTGTGGCTGAGACTGAGAGAGCGGCAGAGGTTTACCAAGAGGTTGTGCGTGGTTGCAGTGGATAGGTGTGTGGTTGCATTGGGTAGGTGCGCGGGAGGAGCGCTGGGGGTTTTTTAAGCTAGACTGCTGAAAAAATGCATGGAGTGCTGAGAAGGGGAGGTGGAGAGAAGAGTGTGAGAAGGGTGGGTCCGTTGGTCACTGAAAAAAAAAAGGAAAAAAAAAAAAATCTTAAGGGCCGAGCGACCTTATGTTGAAAAGAAGGCTGGGTGCTAAGTGGGAGGATGTTGAGATGTGATCTTGGTGGGGAGAAGATATGAAGCTCATTGGTAATCACTATTGAAAACGAAAAAAGAAAAGTGAGGTATGTCATGGTAGGAAGCTGTGAGGTATGTTAGGAAGCTCAATTTCCCCTCTCGTCTTTCCTTCTCTTTCCTCCCTTCCCATCACTCCCACCGTTCCGTTTTTTGCGTAATCAGTGTGTCCTGCAAGGTGCAAAGAGGGGAGAGTTGGGAGAGAGAAGGGGTGTGAGGCCGAGAGGGAGAGGGGGCAAGGGGAAGAGGGAGGATGAGGACGAGAGTGTGTGTGTTGTGTGTGTTTGTGTGAAAGAGAGAGGGGATGCATGTTTGTCGGTTGTTGATTCAGCCGGTGTAGTAGTGCGAGGAGGGAGAGAGGGTCAGGGGAAAAGAGGACCTAACCTGTGCTCTGTCTTGCAGGGTCATTCTTGAGTCAACTCTAGAGTTACCAGGAATGTTGCTGCTGCCACCACCACCACCAGCACCACCAGCATCAGCACCATCATCATCATCATCAGCAGCAGCAAGGAGCAACAGCATTAGCAGCACCACTACAACTATTACCATTACCACCATTACCACCACCACCATCAGCAGCAGCACTAACAGCACCACCACCACCATCATCGCCACCACTAACAACAGCACAGCCCCACCACCAGCTATGTGTGCTTATCTCACACTTGTATGCATTTTCAAATTCAACATTACTTGTCTTCAGCTTTCATTTCCTGTCTGAAGTAGCGGACGCATGCATGTGCATGTGAGACATTGAATGTTTACATTAAAACATCTTTTTTTCCTTGTTTTAATTTTTCAACTTGTTTTAAAAACTGAGTGCTGGTTTTCCTAGTGTTGTAGCAGCTGAACTTACGGTAGATGATAGTCATCACGTGAGAAATTTTAGTGCACTAGTCCACCTTGCCTTAATAAGGTAATACATTCGGACGAGGACATCCGTTACGGTACGTATGTGTCACAAAGGCAGTGTACCACTCTACTCCGCATTACACCTAAATAGCAAATGTTTCCACTGCACTGTATCTAGTCATTTGCGACGCGAGGCTTTTGTGAAGCATGTCCCAGATGTACCCTAAGAAAAAAATGCTACACACAACAATATAAACTAATGGAGCAGACACTAGGACTGCCATCATTGCTGCAAGACTTGACGCATGCAGACACTGCTGTTGCAGCTCCTCCTGCTGCTCATGCGACTATTCATGCACCAGCTGATGCCATTACCGTTGATGCCACAACTGCTGATTTAATGCTGCAAGTGTTCGCAGGCACTTGCAGCAGAGCCTGCTGTAGGGCTATGAGCCTATGAGTGACCGCAACCACTGCAGTACTGCGCATTGAGCTTCATGCCTGTAGATACGGCCATGCCAGGAGACAGTCAGTCTCATTAGCAGTCGTGTAAGCAGTAGTGCAGCAGCTCTCCAGCGGCTTTCCAGCAGTTATGTAACAGTCTTTCAGCAACCTTGCAGTGGAGTTGCAGCAATCGTTTTTGGCCAGCTTCTATCTCTCTAGAGAGACACTGTCAGCGCTTGCTGCTGCTGCCAATGCTGGGTGACTCCTGAAATCACTGCTCCCGATGCTGAGTCGACTCAGAAATCACTTGCAGCCAGCTTCTCTCTCTCTAGAGAGATACTGTCAGCGCTTGCTGCTGCTCCTGCTGCTGATGACGCTGCTGGTGGTGTAACAGACTACTGAAATATCCACCCCTGAACCCCTGAAAGAGAGATCGTCTAGCAGCCGATGGTGAGGTGGGTCGGGAGGGGACTGGAGAGGAGGCAGCAGAGGAGGCAGGAGAGGAAGAGGAGGAGGAGGAGGGGGATGTGTCTGTGTCTGGTGAGAGGTCCAGATCGAGTGCCACGTCAGCAGGTCCTGCGCCTGATCTGAAGCGCGATGCTGACGTGTTGAAGCGGGATTGGAGGAGGAGAGAGAGCCGAGTGGCAGCCTCGGCTGCTTCTGCCTCGGCGAATTCCTGCTGGAATGATAATCAGGGAAGAGAAAAGGTGGGTGTTGTTTTTTGTGGGAAGTGGGGGAAAGGGGGTGAGGAGAGAGGAAGAGTTGAGTTGGTTGATACGGTAAGAATGTGTGCGGTAGCAAGTGTTGAGTGTTAAATCCGATGGGCAGAGCGGGAACAGAGAGCGGTTGAGACGGGAACATGCAAGCACATGGAGTCAAGCACATGGAGTCAAATCTACCATACCCACACGGTGCAAACTTCTGAGCCACACTCCCCCTGAACCCACCACCCGCCCCACCAACACCCACCAGCCATCCACTTGGCGGTATCGGTCGTGGATGGCAACGAGGGCGCACCACACCCACTCCCATCACCACCCCACCCCACCACTGCGCAAACCACCAACAGCCCCACCCCCATGGCGGTATCGGTCGTGGATGGCAGCGAGGGCGCACCACACCCACTGCCCCATCACCACCCCACCCCACCACTGCACAAACCACCGTCACCCAGCCCCACCCACCTGGCGGTAGCGGTCGTGAATGGCAGCGAGGGCGCGCGCTAGGATGAAGCACGGCAGCAGAATGCCGAGCAGCTGCATCAGAAAAATCTGCAGAGGAAGAGGAAGGGGGGGGGGGGGGGGAGGAAAACGGCAGCAGGGAGGGGGGGAAAGGGGGTGGGGACGGGAAAGGGATGGGAAAAGGGAAGGGCGAGGATGAAGCAGAGCAGCAGAATGCCAAGCAGCTGCATTAGAAAAATCTGGGGGGGGAGGGGGGAGGTGAAGGTGGGGCGGGGCGGGGCGGGGGGGGGATGAGGGGAGGGGAGGAAAAAGGGGGAGGCGGAAAAAGGAGGGAGGGGTTGGGAGTGTGGGGATGGGGGGAGGTGGAGGGGAGGTGGAGGGGAAGACGACGGTAAGTGGGAAGGGGGAACGGAAGGAGGATGAAACAAGGCAGCATACAGTCGCACAGCCACACAGTCGCACTGCCATAGAGTTGCACAGCCATACCGTCGCACAGCCATACCATCGCACAGCCATACCGTCGCACAGCCATACCGTCGCACAGCCATACCGTCGCACAGCCATACCGTCGCACAGCCATACCGTCGCACAGCCATACCGTCGCAAAGCCATACCGTCGCAAAGCCATACCGTCGCACAGCCATACCGTCGCACAGCCATACCATCGCACAGCCATACCATCGCACAGCCATACCGTCGCACAGCCATACCATCACACAGCCATACCGTCGCACAGCCATACCGTCGCACAGCCATACCGTCGCACAGCCATACCGTGAACTCTGCCGAGTCTTCGTCAACGTCGTCGTCGTCGCCACTCGCCTCCAGCACGAGTGCGAAGAAGTGCCGCGCAAATATTAGAAGCAGAACCTGCGAGCATGGGGGGGAAGTCGGGTAAATTGTGAATTGTGAATCGTAAATTATAATCGAGCGGCTAACAACGAAAAGAACGCTCGATGATAAATGGGCAGCTGTTACCAGATTCACGTACTGAAAAAAAGACGAGTAGTTGATAAGAAAACATCCACTTACGATGATAATGAGCGACTTTAAGCAGCTGACGGTCGCCGGCTCCGGGATTTCCGGCGCCGCGGGCGCGGACGCGAAGTCCTCGAGGCCGAAGCGCAGCTCCTCGCCCGTCACCGCGTCGCGGAACGTGACGATGTGGCTCAGCTGCCCCGCGCCGTCGCGGAATTGCAGCGCCACGAGCCCCGGCGTGATTGGCGGAGAGGCGGGCGGCGGCGGCGCGGTGTAGCCCTCTTTGAACGGCTGGAAGGGGATCAGGGTTGCGGAACGAGGGGAGCGGAAGGGGAGGGGCGGAAGGGGAGGGGCGGAACGGGGGGAGGGCAGAACGGCGGGGAAGGTGATTAGAAAGGATCTGTCAGCATGGTGGTGGGGAAGAGGATAGAGGTGGGGAAGAGGACAGAGGTGGGGAAGAGGACAGAGGTGGGGAAGAGGACAGAGGTGGGGAAGAGGATAGAGGTGGGGAAGAGGACAGAGGTGGGGAAGAGGACAGAGGTGGGGAAGAGGACAGAGGTGGGGAAGAGGACAGAGGTGGGGAAGAGGACAGAGGTGGGGAAGAGGACAGAGGTGGGGAAGAGGACAGAGGTGGGGAAGAGGACAGAGGTGGGGAAGAGGACAGAGGTGGGGAAGAGGACAGAGGTGGGGAAGAGGACAGAGGTGGGGAGGTGCGACCGTCTTTGACGAATGACAACATGAGGAGCGTAGGTGCATAAACATGAATACGGAAAAAAACCGGGGAAAAAATAAAACACAAACAAAAAGTGGGGGGTTGAAGGAGGGGAGGGGAGGGAAGGGAAGGGCGCGGGGAGGGGGGGAAGGGGGGGAGGGAAGGGGGGTGGGGGAGGAAGGGAATGGGGAAGGAGGGTGTGGCGAATTACGGAATGTCCAAAGACGAATACTTTGCAGCCGCGAGTATGCGACTTGGCAGACGAGTAATGCGGAATGGTACAAGACACACGTACTGAGACGTTAGGCACGGAGGAAAAACTTACGTGATGGCAAATTTCGCACTGCGTGTTGCCCTTCTCGTTGCACCACCTCTGGATGCAATCGTGATGCGCGTACTGCAGTGACTCAACAACGGGGACGTGGGCATTTACGAGCATTAGATGAGCGCCAAAAACTCCCCATGGCAAGATCCTATAGAAAGGCAACAAACGGAAGACTACGACATATTAATCTACAAGCGCAAAAGCCGAGAGTACCTTGAGACTACCGGAGCACGCGCACGGGACATCCAGCTTTGACACGTCATCCTCTTCCTGACAAATACGGCACTCCTTGGCGTCGCGATCTTCAAACGACACACTTTCAGGCTCGTAAACGGTCGCATGCTCGGAAAGCGAGTCCTTGCCATGGCTGCTGCTTATAACTCCTCCATCACTGCAGCTGGTGCCTATGCTGCTAGGGATCGTGTCGCTGTCACTCGAGTCGCTGGTGCTTGTGGTGCTAACACTAGCGCTGCTTCTGCTGGTTCGACTGGCGCAGGCGCTGCTGTTTTCACTACTTTGCCTCCTAACCAACGGTTGCGATTCCACCTCCTGCTGCGAGCTGTATTCCACGTCAGGCTCGTCCGATTGGGTCTCGGTATACTGCGATTCGACTTCTTGCTGCTGACGTGGATTGGTTGAAACTGGTAAGCCTGCGTTATGGGGTTGCAAGTCGCGGCTGCTGTGCCGGCCAGTGCTGCTGCTGTCTACCGTTGTTGAAGTCATTCGAGCAACGAAAGTGAACAAGGTTGTTTGCTTCCTAAGAAACCAATCTGCAGGTTACTCACCAAGGCCTACTCAGCGCAACTAAATACACAAAGAGTGTTCAAAGGCTCCGACGTTCACGTCTGGTCCGACCAAACAGGAGCAGCGTTGTCGGCGCGAAAGCGCTAAGCTAGCAAAAAGTAATCGTAATTCGACCTGCAATCACGTCTTGCGTAGGAATAGCTAAGCTGAGCAGAGGGCAAGCAAAGCGGGGAGGGAGCACGGCAAACGTTCCCCTGAAAACAACCCCGAGAATTACGTGGAACAGACGCACAGCTGGAAGGGGAGGTTCGGATGGAGGTTGGGGGTTGAAACAGAAACGACAGCCATCCGGTTCGGGATAAGTCTGGCTAGGCGACACAGGCTCGGATATCAACACTGCGGCGATGTCCGTGACTGCTGCTGGGGAAAGACAGTGTGACGACGTCCGTGACTGTAACGGGAGATTTCTAGGTCTGTACGTATGGATGCGACGGAATTTGAAGCTTCGGTTCGGTGTAGACTTCATAGGCACAGCTGGAATGCGCGCTGAGCCCGAGGAGAGAAACGAAGTTGACGTGCTCGACATCCAGCCGAGCCGGCTCCGGCTCACACATGAGGAAGGAATGAGGTGCCGGCCATTTTCAGGTGCATGCCACTTAGTCGAGGGCGCGCTATTCAGGTGCATGCCAGGTTGCGTACACTATTATCAGGTTAAACAATGTCTCCCGTGACGTCACATACTTTTCAAGATTCCATTCAAATTGGCACTAAAGGTCTGAAATAGCTTCAATTTCGGGCTACGCAAATCGGAATCGGAATGTTTGGCTCTCGATGCTGCATTTTCTGACGTCACTCAGTGCAATGATTGCTTTTCTGCCCAATTTCTACGCGAATTTCTGCTTCGCACCAACACTTCTTGAACGAATCTAATGCTAGATCTGTTGTACTACAAGTAGCCCGAAACGCTTCGCATCGAGAGCCAACCATTCCGATTCCAATTTGCGTAGCCCGAAATTGCATCTATTTCAGACCTTTAGTGCCAATTTGAATCGAATCTTGAAAAGCGTGTGAAGTTACAGGAGAAATTGTTTAACCTGATAATAGTATACGCGACCTGGTCTGCACTTGAATAGCGCGCCTCGGCTAAGTGGCATGCACCTGAAAATGGCCGATGAGGTGCTGTAGTTGATGGGCGATGGCGGGGCAAGCCATGATTGCGACGGGACAGTTCCCAAGCGAGAAACACCGTCGCCGTCGTTAGCAAGCCTCGGCGAACCTGAGCAACTGCGGAACAAAATTGTCAGGTGCCCTGCTTGAGAATGTTCGACTTGCGTCCACAATCTATTCAAAAGCGGTAAAAGAAAAAAAGTCCAGTATAACCACATAAAATGGCAAAAAATCTATAGAATTATTTAACAATTGATCAGATTAATATCCAGAAGAAAGCCAGAAAACCAAGGTCGCATATCTTTTCCAGCAGCTAAGTTAAACCACCAAGACACAGGCACAGTTTTGCAGCACTTCACATCCAGTCCTTCACATCACACTGTTGCCACAGGTAATAGACTGATGGTCCACAGGGGGGTTCTGCACAGGCTATCCTGTTGGCAATCCGCTTCTGTGATGTGAGGGCCCGGAAAATCCGCCAGGAGTGCAGTTCAGCATCTCAGCAGCCTGTCCGCAAGTCACTCATACATGTGTTGTTGCATGCTGGTTTGAACATTGTTGCATTTCTGTATAAGGCGTACTTGCTGCCCAGGGTGAACTTGTAGTACGCTGCCGTTCTGCTACAGAGATAATCACAGGTGTACTGCAGGAACAACGGGAAAAAAAAAAACAAAAAAAACAAATCAGAGTTGAGTGATTGAACGAAATTAAGCAACTTCCAAGTACCGAAAAAAAAAAAAAAAAAAAAAAAAAAAGGGACACAGGGAGCGGAGGGGGGCCAGCATGGGGGGGGAGGTTGAGAAAGAGCACAGAGACATTGGAAAGAAAGTGGGAGGGAGGAACGGGCGACCGGGATTGAACTCACCAGCAAGCATTCACACTGGGATTTGAAGACCCATGGGCAGTAGTAGAAATAATCCGGAGTAAGAGGCCAGGTTGGGAACGGGCACATGCCGGGCGGCGCCGGGCACGTGTTTGGAATCGGATCTATGGCCGTCCGGTTCTGGCAGATCCCCTCGTTGCACAGGTTGCACGGCCCAGATCGCACCAGCGGCAGGGCAAAGCTGAGCACCGCATGACACACCGACTTGTAAGTCACATAGTCTGCCCCGCAGACGGGGAGCGAATCCGCGCAAATGTCCCCAGCGATCTTTCTCGTGCAGGGAATGAGGATCATTTGGCTGGGCGTGATCGACTGGTCTGTGCAGTCTGGGAAGGAGTTTGAGGAGCAGATATCCGCGGGGAACGTGTTGTTGGGACACATGGAGGCGTATTGCTGTGAGATGGACGTGAGCGTGTCATTCACCCCCACAGAGTAGGGGATCACGTTCGGGGAGAGCGGGTACTTGGTCATGGACTGTGTTGTGCCGTTCACACACACTTTCTGCCCGATTTGGAGGTACGGCGGGTAGCACTGCAGGAGGGTGCGTGGGCAACGCAAGAGAGGAGACATCGGAAGGAGGGAAGGTGGTGGTGAGGAGGACTGGGAAGCCTTGCTGCAAACGGAGACCCGAAAAAAGCCGAAATGCGTTTCAGGGAAGGTGATGAGGCGACAGGGTCACAGCAAGGCAAGAGAGAGAGAAGAGAGAGAAGAGAGGAAGAGAGAAGGAAGACGTACCCTGAGGCCCGGGTTGAGGCGGAGGAACTGGTTGACTGTGAGCCCCACTGAGTTTGCCATTAGAGGACACGTGTCTGCCTGTCTGACTGTGTACCATGCCGAGCAGTCCACCGTGACGAACTGCAGCGAATGGGGGACGGGAAAGGGAAGGCGGGGGAGGCGGGGGGAGGGGGACGGGGAGAGGAGGTAGATTGATGAAGCGTCTGAGAAGAAGGGACACGAGGTGGAGGGCTTGGAGGCAGCAGCAGAATGCGAGCGCGTTGGCAACGGATTGAGCACTCGCTCGGAGCGCTTACAAGAGTGGGTGAGGTGAGGGGGTGGACAGAGGGGAGTGAGGGGAAGATGCAGGAATGGGTGGGAAGGATGGTGGAGGGGGTGGTGTTAGGGAGTGGACGAGAGGCGGGAAGGAGGGGAAAGGGGAAAGGGGGGGAGAAGTTACCTCTGTGGTGAGGGGAGCCACACAGACGGCAATGGCATTGTTGATTGGGTTGTCGTCACACCGGAGCCCTGGATTCAACCTGCACATGGTTGGCAACACAGGAAGCAGGAGAGACGAGCGGATTCAGTCTGAAAATGTTGGCAATACAGAAAGCAACCGGCACACGGCATGGCACATGGCGCGGCAAAGGATGGCATGGCATGGCACATGGCATGGCACAGCATGGGACACGGCATGGCATGGCACGCACCAGAGGAAATCTAGAAGCGAGATGTTGAATCCGCGGGCGATGTCCACGCATCGATCCTGTGGTCCCACGTTGTACACTCGCCCGCACGAACGGATCAGGGGCGACGTGGACGACAGAGCGCCCGGCGCGACGCACAGCATCTGCGAACGCTGCAGCGACACGTTGCAGTTGAGGGTCGGGTTGATCCCTAACAACTGGCGTACAGTGATATTGTTGCGCGCAGCAATTGTGCTACATGTGTCGGTAGGGTTGACTATATCCATCGCGGAGCAGCCTAAAGTCGTGCTTGTAGAACCAACGAGGATGACGTAACCCGGGGTGAGTGGTTGGGAGCAGTCGAGGAACGGATTCTTGGTTTGGAGAAAGTCTATGGTGAATCCGAATGTGCTGGCGACGGTTTGGCAGGTGTCGCCTAGCAGAATTGTGTAGGTTTGGAGGCCCGATTGGAACGTGCCGAGAACACAAGTCATGCTACCCTCAACACGCGAACCAATCACCGAGCCCTGGAGACACACAGACAAAAAGGTTCGGCTGAATAAACAAAATTGCAAGGCCGAAAAGTAGATCGAACGATAATGACTGACGAAATCGGACCAGTAAAGGAAAAAGAGGGGAAAGTGGCGAACGGAAACAGCTTACAGCAGGGCATGCGCAAGTGTAGCTGCCATCAAACTCGTTGTAACATGTCCCGATACCGCACGGATTCGGATTCGCATCACAAGGCGTAGCGACGGTGCACTTCGGCGCGTCGTTCTCCAATCTCTCGACAAATCCAGGCGGGCAACTGCACCGCGCCCCACCGTTTGTCACCACACACGTCCCGCCTCCGCACGGATTTATTGGAAGCTTGCAGAGAGCCGCTCCCTTGGTCTTATCATAAAAGGTAGGGTAAAGTCCCCGTTCGCTTAGCATATTACACTTGCCAGGCCCGTCTGCTAGCATGGGTAACCGCATGTAACCGCCTTCGCCCCAGGAGGGTCCCCAGGTGTTTTTGACGATCCAGACTGGCGAGTTAGGGTTGACGAGACTGTAGCCTACGACCAACACGGCGTGGTCGATTTCGCCGCTGCACTGCCCGAAGAAAATCCCACCCGAGTAATTCTGCCATGCGTGGGGATCAGCGAGTGGAAGCGGGAACGAAGGGAAAATTTGCAGGGGGGGGAGAATGAACTAAACGGGGAAGGAGAGGGAAGGTGAGAGAAGAGGGAACTAAAATAATTATTCAAAAAAATGGAAGTAAAAAACGGAAATGCATGGTCGAAAACGGGGCGCGGGGGCTCGGGGAGAGGGGAGGGGGGGATTATTGAAGGTCGGGACAAGCACGTATGAAAGTGAGAATGAGCGACAATTGAGAGAGAGAGAGAGAGAGAGAGAGAGAGAGAGAGAGAGAGAGAGGGAGAGAGGGGGGGGGGGGGGGGGGGAAGAGAGGGAGAGAGAGAGAGGGAGAGAGAGAGAGGGAGAGAGAGGGAGAGAGAGAGAGTGAGAGAGAGGGAGAGAGAGAGAGGGAGAGAGAGAGAGAGGGAGGGAGAGGGAGAGAGAGAGACGGGTGGCATACGATGAAGTCATTGCTACTGCCGGCGATGTACACGAGCACGGGGTGCTGAGCCACGGCCTTCATCAGCGCCGTGTTGCTCCTCGCCGGCACCTTCTCCCACCCGTTCATCTGCGCACCATGATCCACGGAGAGAGAAGTCGTGCGCGCGCGCACACACACACACACACAGGGAGAGGGAGGGGGGAAGAGAGAGAGAGAGAGAGAGAGAGAGAGAGAGAGAGAGAGAGAGAGGGAGGGAGGGAGAGAGCGAGAGGTAGAGACAAGAGAGCGGGGAGGATGATGAGCGGAAACGGAGACCAACAGACCGATGAACAGCGAACAACGGGATGAGCGTCAAAACAATATTGAATGTAGTGTATCCATTTCTTACCCCCGCAAAATCTCCACCCCCTATCCGCAGCCACCCTTGTCCCCTATACTGCATGTTCCGGTAACCGCGGTCTGCACCAGCTCCCCCTCTCAACCCAACCCGCACCTTCGCCTTGAGCTTCGACTTCGCGACGCTTGCACAGGTCGAGTTCATCGCGCCCGCGTACGGATAATCCACGTTAGAAGCCACCCCGCCGTTGGCCATAATGAACTGGAAGACCCACTCGGGCCAGCCGCCGCGGCAGCAGCCGGACGACGAGCAGTCGCACGCGTGCTGCGTGGAGAGCAGCTCAGCCGTCTGATTGTTGATCTGCGCCCACACGATGCTCACAAGGTCCGTCGCCGTCATCGCCCAGCAGCTCTCGCACTGCAAGGGAACGGAAGGGGAGGGGCGAACGGAAAGGGGGAACGGAAAGGGGGAACGCAAAGGGGGAACGGAAAGGGGGAACGGAAAGGGGGAACGGAAAGGGGGAACGGAAAGGGGGAACGCAAAGGGGGAACGGAAGGGAAGGAAGGGAGAATCGATATATTTTTAGCAAGTCAATAGCAGCAGCCCGTGACAGGAGAGGAGAACGGACGGAAGGGGGATGGACACGGGAGGTGCGAGCGAGCATAAATGGAGAGGCATTCCAGCAACGTCAAGAACGCAGATGCGGTTCTTGCTGGACAGCAAACATTGGCCTGTAGAGAAGGCGTAAGCGGAAATGCCTTCAGGCTGACGGTAAGAACACTACGAGAAGCACAGAGAGAGAGAGAGAGAGAGAGAGATAGAGAGAGAGAGAGAGAGAGAGAGAGAGAGAGAGAGAGAGAGAGAGAGAGAGAGAGAGAGAGAGAGAGAGAGACGTACAAACTGCTGGTTCAACATTGGCGTGATGTACGGAGTTATGCTCCAGTCGACGAGCGTCGGCGTCGACACGCTCTGCCATCGAAACCAGGTGACATTCATGTCGCCGCGAGCAGGAGCCGCTCCCAAGTCAGGCGCTTGAATCGCCTGGACCTTCCCCGAGTTACCCTGTAACTTTCTTCGTTGAGGAAGATCCTCCATTTCGTACAGCTCCATGTAAGCTGGCTGTGCGAGAATCCGTCGCTTCGACGAACTTGGCAGAAGTTCTTGCAGCTTCCGACCCCAGTTGGACCTTTCCGCTTCTTTCTCGCCGAGTATATTTTCCCGTAACAACCTCCCAACCATACGACTTTCTTCGAGCTCCTCGGGAGAAGGAGAATACTTATAAAAAACAGACTTGCTGATCGGACCGCTGGCAAGGCTTCGTCGGAGAATGTGAGTCGAGAGCTCGCGAGCATTATAAGCAGCGAACTCTTCCGGGTTGTCCTTCTTAAGAAGCTGCTCTTTCCGCCATCTTTCTTGCATGTACGACTCGAATGCCGATGGTTGATAAGTTACTGAACCGGAAACAGCAGATGCAGAGACATCGACTTGCTCTCGTGAAAGAGATAAGGGAATGGAAATGGAGATTGTCGCTAAGAGGAGTAACCGAAGCGAAACCGTGCGAAGTAATCTACTACCTATCCGAACTTGCCGGTTTGCCGGAAGACACCCCATATCGTCTACTAAACTACGCGATGAAACTTAAGCCACCAGCACTGTAGTAACTACGAATCAGAGCTTAGGTTGAACCTTGAAATTTTCACGAACCAACCCTGAACTTGGCCCTCCAGTCCTTATATTATTTTTACGCAAGAACGTCGCAGCAGCCTCTCAAGAAACCTGAGCGGCTGCAACGGTTGTGCTCGACGGCCAGAACGGTACTAGGTTATCCCACGTCTTGGCTGCTCTAGCAATCTGCACCTTAGTCCCGTAACCGAAGTCATGGCTGTAGGAGGTCGTAGTTAGTCCCAATCCAACCCAACCCAACGTGTCTTGTTCTGCTGCTGTTCCCGGGTAATTACATTCTGGGTAACCAACATCGAGCCCGCTGACGTAAAAAGTCACCTACGTGGCTCGATGGTACCCGTCAGATCATGCGCACCCCTTGGTGGTACCCATCTTCCCTCCGTGGTACCCATCTTCCCTGCGTGGTACCCATCAACTGTGCGTGAATTCCCTGACTGGTACCGCAACATTTCAACCGAGCTGTACACCGTACAACAAGGGTTTCAATGCGATTTTCACTATATTATACCAACGTTTTCTGTCTGCAATTGAACATTAATACATTTGAACATTAATACCTTTGAACATTAATACCTTTGAACGTGCCTTACACTGGATAGAGTGCAACCTAGAAAAAATCAACTCCCCTTCTAAAATCCTCACGTTACCTCCGAACCTTTGTAAGCTCACATCACTGAGCGATAGGTAGCGTGAATCTTACGACCATGTTTCTCAGTTGGTAATCTGAACAAAGTTCATAAGGTTGTATGCAAATAAATTGAGCATGTACCTCCACAGCTAAATAGAAAAGCATAAACAAATAATACGTACATTCGTTGGTTTCTGGAAACAAAACAATACCCATTAATGAAAATCAAATAACCTTAAGTCAATATATATATTACGTGTCAGTTGATCGTTTGTTACACGGATGTTAATTTTTGTGTTTCGGTTGATGCAATATATCTGTGGTGATTTAAATTATAGCACGTTATAATGTGGATGTTTATGAGCCTAAAGAAATCTACACAATAAATGTTTTCCTAAATTCAGCTTTTCTTCTACACTTTATTATAGGTAATGCGCTTGAAAATTTGACCCGATTATGTGGCACTTCGGGCTTCGGACTCTATTGAGCTTGTAAACGTTAAGACAATATAGTGAAAAACGCATTGACACCCTTGTTGTACGGTGTACAGCTCGGTTGAAATGTTGCGGTACCACGCAGGGAAGATGGGTACCACGGAGGGAAGATGGGTACCACCAAGGGGCGCGCATGATCTGACGGGTACCATCGAGCCACGTAGGTGACTTTTGACGTCAGCGGGCTCAATGTTGGTTACCCAGAATGTAATTACCCGCTGTTCCCTTGTGGATGGTTGGTGGGAAAATGGCAAGTGTGGTCCAGGCTCTTGACTTCTGATGGAAGCTGATTTGCGGAGAGGAGGTGAAACCCTAGCTCCCAAGTTGCTCTGCTGCTGCTTTATCAGGGTGTCTGTCTGCCTTCTCGTGTCTTGTGTTGTTGCTCTCCTTGTATTGTCCTGCTGGTTGGGTGATGAGGCGAATTGTGAACTTGTGGTGTATCATGTTGTCAGACTGAACTTTGACGGGTAGAAACAGTCTGCTTTTCAGAAATCTATATGGTTTCTATGCGGTTGAATATGGTTATTTGAAATTCCTACACGCCATAAGTGCAGGTGGGGGAAGGCTAGTGGGAATCAGGCCTGTTGTTTCGTTTTGGGCCCCCCGGACAAATCAGGGGGCCCGGCATGTATGACCCTGTATTTAGCAGGGTTGGGGCGAATCTCGGCCCTTTAGGCTTCAGGGCTGGAAAATTTTCTCCCTTGAATCGGGTTTGGCGCGAAAAAATCGGGAGCCTCATTTCAACTACCAAGCTTACAACTACGTTTGAGATCAACGACAAGCAAGCAAACACGACATGAAGAGAAATAGTTAGCGTCATATCACTACGCACGCTTTGCAGGCTTCCTAGCCTTTGCAGAACCGATGATCGTCTGCACATCTACTACCCAACCTTCAGGGTAGTTCTTGTGCACTTCTACCCAACCTTAACCGTCACCCACTCCACAGAGAGCGAGCTGTGATTGGTTTAAGCACAAGTTCTAGGTTGAGTTGAATTTGTGGCCCAACCACGCAACTCGGAATTTTTTGTTGGATGCAATCAGGTTAGAAACGAAGGGGAAAGGAGAGGGAGTAGTGTTGGGGGGGGAGGGGAGTGGAAGGGGGGTCTCGAGAGATTTTGTTCCAGGGCTCGCCTAAAATCTGCCCTTTACACACCGGGCCTGAGCCCGAAATCAGCCCTGTAAAGAATCAGGGCCAGAATATTTCCAACCCATCAATTTCAGTTTCCAAGGGCAACCCAGCCCTGGAATTCAAGGTCCAGCAGGGCAAACGCCCTGCAAGCGACAGCCCTGGTGGGAATATCTGTGGGAAGGCTAGTGGGAGGGCCTGGCAGGATGTTCTGTGCGTTGCACTTGATGACATCGTCTTTGCAGCAGCCAGCTGATCCGACTCCTCATGTTTGTCCACGTCCACTGACCCATCTGCGACGGGAGATTTTTGTCAGCAGGAATCTAGTCGCATGGAAGTCGTTCATCGATTAGATTGGTTCGTTTCTCCGTCGCCCGTAACGTAAACTGTTCTGCCCAAAACAAGGAGCTTCGCCAATGGCCATTGGCCACTCCCACTGCCCACACATGTTCTCCTTTCTTTCACTGGCTCCAATCCAATCCCCCGTTCGCGCTGCCTCGCACGTAGTGTTTGTGACACGACCAGCCCAACTGCATGGGTGTCATCGTCAACTCTTGTTGTCTGCTTGGGTTGGTTGTCTGTCACGACTCACCAACCGTTCACTTCCGCATTACTCCGCGTTTTTTCATTCCTCCTGCCACACACAATCTGTCAAGAGTCGACAATTATTGCTCGGACTGGTTTAGGCAGGCAGATTTTTCCCGCAGGGGTAAACTTCCCACTGCATCGGACAGCCTTACTTTCCACAATATCTATACTTCGACCCGTACATTCATTTATCAAGCGTACAGTTCCTGACATTTTCACGAGGGGCCGCGGAACATTGAAAACATTGGTTCAGAAGGACCATTCCAAAACATAGCTGACAATCTTCACGATGACTTCTTGGCGCTGTTCTGCTGGAGTTCTCGTCGCTGCAACGTTGGGGGATTGGTAAAGTTCGCAATAGCTTCAGGTGCCTTTTTGGTTGACTTGGCAACACATGAAGGTTCAGTTTTAAAACCAGGGTACACATTCAACGCGACTCCAGGCTAAATTTTGGGCGGCATGTTTGCGGGAACTGCTGATTGGTTGACGAGTAGCGAATAAATAGTTGAGAATGGGCGAGCATGGGGCGGAAATTGATAACACTTGGATCTAGAAATTGATAACACTTGGATCTAGAAATTGGGGATCAAGGGGAGGGCAACTGGGTTGGCGGAAAGGGGAGAGGGGGTGAGACGATATTGTGGGGGAAGGGGAAACAATTTCGGTGGGAGCGGAATAGGTATGGGGAGGGGGGAAACGAATTGGCGGAAGCACATTCGATGACTTCGGTTTACATTTGCCAAATCTCGAGGGTTCAAATGTTCACCTGCTGAAGCGAACACTCCCCCCAGATATTCCTAAATCACTGAGTAACCCCGAGGTCAAAGGTTAACCTTTGACAGAAATCCAATTGAATGTGCACCCTGGTTTTAACCGACGTAAGCTTCTCGTTTGAACAGCTCAGCCAAACTCGGGTCTGCCCTTTCGGACACGGTCTGGCGAAAAAATAACAACCGAATTGGGTGTTGACGCGTACAGACAAGAAATTAGCCAAAAAAAAATCAGCAGCCCCCGCATCAGTGGTGCGGAGGTGATTCCACCTCGAGAGGTCGCACCAGTTGTGCGTACCATTTGCCTGGAGTGGCATTTTCCTGGAGTGGAAATGGCTTGGAACAAACAGGCGGTTATGGTACAGTGTCACAAAAGTGCTGTTCTGCAGGTTTCCTCGGTTTTCTTGATGCGCCCAGCTTCGGACAATGCCCAACCTGAACCGACGCACCACTAGTGCGGATGGAAAAATACGCGAAGGCCATTTTTGGCCAAAAGAACAGGGGAAAGCGCAGTCACAATTATGGCCGTACTATCACGTTTGGTCACGGGGTTATCACGGACAATCACAGTACAGTACATCGCTATCACGCATGATCACAGCGCTATCACGCTTGATCACTCCT